GGCCGTTTTCATACTGCTTGTGCGCCGACTCCCTACTGCCTTTCACTTAGTAGTATGCTTCATGCTGGTAAAACCTTATAACGGTTTTGGTGTAAATCGGTACCCCCTGTTCCATGGACCAATCCAGACCTCCATTATTTGTCTGCTTCTCACTCGATAATCAGTCTCTTTCAGTGTTCCACGAAGTAGGTCGAGGTGAATTCGACCACCATATCACTGAGGCACGCTGTTCTCCACTTGTCGTTAGTAGTCAGCGAGTCATAGCTCCGTTATACTTGAGGGAATAAACTGGGCTTCCCGCTGCAAGTAGGCAAATGCACGGGTGTCTGGTGACTGAATTGCTAAAAGTTTCGCAAATGCCACTTCTTTTGGTCATTTAAGCTGTAGAGCTGCATCCAACCTTCCTCGTTCATTCTCTGAAGTAGTTTTTTTCCACTCAAGCTTTACTTTGTCCTCTTTTTACGATTCTCTCTAAAAAGGACCTATTCTATGACCCGTTTTTATCCCTACCTTAAATCTGTAAGTGATACTTTAAGTTGTAATCCGGACGTCCTAATATGTTACGGTATTTTCGGGCAACACCGCCGTTCTGGCCAAAGTATTGTCCATTTTTTTTGTTTTGGGGGGTTGGATTTAATTTTCTCCTCATTCGTACGTATGGCTGGCACCTCAGCTTCCAATGGTTTGTACTTTCCGTAAGACACAGTTATCGCTACTTTAAGAAAGTTAAGATGGCAGCTTCGTGGGCTGGCACAGACGTGTGATGCCGTAGCAGTTCCTGTTTAATCTACGCGGCACACACACGTGACAAAAGCAATTAATTAGACTGTTATATAAAATGAAAGGGTGCCAGTTTGCCCATCCCCTATTAAGTTGGTTTATTTTTTTGAAAAATATTGCAGACACTTGTTGTAGCTGTAGCACTCTGAATCGTGTCTGAATTTGGAAAAAGGTCATAGAAGTATGGCGGAAGATGTATTACTGAGTCTAGCGGCATGGCCCAAGGGCATGTCGGCGAGCGGACGTACAATGGCGGAGCCTTAGGTATCCGCGTAAGCAATCAAGCTATTGCAGTAGTTATACCAAAATTGAAAAAAAAAACTGCAAAAAATGAAACAAATTATTTTTATTGTTGCATTAGTTTCTTGTGTGAAACCCATTTATTCCGTTTGAGAGGGGTAACACGCGTCAACTATTTGTGACGTGCACCGCGCACAGGTCATGATGGGCGCGTCACACGCGCGTGACGCTAGTAGCGCAGTGAATTTAACGGGCTCCATCTGGCCGGTCTTCCGGGAATGCTTGTGTACAAGTTGTCTCTCCTGCCTAGCCTCTCGCTAGCAAATCGTGTTTTTTTCTTTTCAGCTCGGCTATGACGTATTCAATGCTTTGGATTTGCTGGACAATGCAAGTTTCTTTGAAGACCTCAAATTTGGCATTGGAGACGGCAATTTGCACTACTATCTCTACAACTGGCGCTGTCCGGTACTCAAGCCTGAGGAGGTGATTCCTTTTTTTGCTCTGAAAAGAAGGCGTAGACCCCCTGTAGCCCTTCCAGGTGTCCCTAAGCATGAATGAGACGTACTTGATAAAGTACTGATGGCAGCTTTGATGGCTGTGGATGAGGCAGTGTTATAAATGGCAAAAAAATTTGGGATTACGTCTTTTAATCACCTTGTTAATCTTCAGCTCACATTCTCCGTTTTTCCCCAAACTAGGTGGGCGTTGTTCTCCAGTAAGTTCTGTCCAATCAGCCACTGGGGAAACCGTTTGTTGCAGTGGTGTGCACGCTCTTACGAGCAATCTACCCGTTGGGCGCCCTATTCCCCCCTCTCCCCCTCCTCCTCACCCTTTTCCTTCCAAATTCTTGTTTATGCCAATAAAGTGCATCAAATGTTGAGGGGCGAGTCTTATTACCCGTTTTCTACCCTCAAGAGGTAGAGCTTTGCCGTTGGATTTATTAATTAACCAGCATCCACAAATGTGGGCTTTCGGAATTGCCTAGGTTCTACCTCAAGTGCTGAAATGTGGGTACCGGGACGAGAGAGGAGTTGAAAGTCCTCCACGATTGGAACCTGGCTCCATCGTTATGCTGCACCTGTGTCAGGATGTATCAGTGTCAAAATCGAAGACGGCGGTGTCGCAAGGCCGGTGTGTTGGGAGTTCCAGTTTCATCCGCCAACATTTTCCGTAATGGCATGTCCAAATTGCACCGACGCGGTTAAACTTTCACCACTCCGAAATGCGCAAGCGCGGAAGGGCTCGCCACCAAACATCTCATATTCATTCTGACAGTTCTCAAAGTCGCTGGTCGTGTAAGTAATTGGATTTCCCAAAAAAGCTCTACCGTGCTGATAAATCTTCTGTGGAGTTTTGTCTTTAGGCTTAAATAATCCAGGTCTAGTCGTCTTCTCTTTCTATCCCACGTTTATTTCAACGTTAGTTCGTAACCAGTCATGATTGCTCAATGCCGGCGTGGGGAGCAGGTGATGCTCATCGCTTGGAGGTGTAGAATGGGGGTGACACTCCCACTGAGGTCTGGGTTTTGAGGCCTCACGAGGTCTTGCAGAGAGAAACTTTCCTACCACTCACTAATTCTGGCAGTTCTGGATGCTTCTCAGTGTTCTTCACGTTGCGTAAACGGATGAACCTCAGGCGTAATGACTACATGGTCTTCAGCAGGTGAACAGCGTCAACGACAGTCAATGACACTTACAAAGAGTGCGGTCCTATGGAAGATGTAGAGACTAACCGATAGGGGGATTTTTCTCCACACTTTGCAGCGCAAAGCTTACCGCAAGTCATTCCATCAGCCATGTGTCGACAGCTTTCACTACGTCTTCCCCAGTTGATGGAGGAAAAAGCAAACTGAATTTTTCTTGACACACTAGTATCGAAATACCTCCGTCAGAAGCGGCGCGTGGTTCTTCACTGATATGGCGAATGGTCTTCGTGAAGGTGACGTATCTACCTCTAAGTTAGCCACCACTAGAGCCTTGCCGCCGAGGGTGGGTCCCGCTGTCACATGTTTCCCCTGCCCACCCTCCCCAAATCATGTGCAAATGTGGTGAGGAACTTTAGCGACTTCGAGATTGAGGCTTAACTCAAAAAGGGTGCAAACTTGAATCGCATACGCCAAATTAAACCAGTTACCAGAGGATGCAAGGAATTCTTTACCGAAAAGGGCATCGTTTATTAAACAAAATGGGTTATTTTGGGATTGACAACTTTAAAATGGATAAATTAGTGAGTAGGAGTGCTTTAGTACTCGCGTACATAGCAACAGGCCATGGATTTAAAAAATAATATTTGTCGGATCGGACCAGTATTATTGGGTTAGGGGAACATTTATTAATGATTATTTTAAAGTTTTAAAGTCGGAAAAGAATATTTGAATGAAATCGGTTGGCGTAAGGCAGATGAAATCTTTTCACATAAACTCTTTCCTCCTTTTATTGAACCTCTGTTGCCAAGCGTACAAATTAAATTTGTGCTTGCACCACGGATTCACCCGGTTACCGTGCTAAACTCAAAACACGAAAATTTATTTTTCAAGACGCTAGAGAAAAAATTATGCTTTTGCTAAAACGAATAGCTCTTCCGTTGTCCCTCGTGTTGTCGGATGTTTGTCTATGCTCCGGCTGCAAAGCATCGAAAAGTTCAATTTTAAATGTATTATTCTTTATTAATAAGGCATTTCTCTTTTTTGAATTGTTTGGTCTTTGTTTGAAAGACAAGCTATTGGATTTTATGAAGCCCATCTTTCCCTCCACCTGGAGGAATAAAACTACCCCCGAAAACAACTTCTGATGATAATTTGGCGGGTAGGAAAGCTATCGAGATCTGCAAAATATGGGGAGCGCTTAGAACAATTTTTTGACTTGCGTTTTGCCTCTCCCCTAGTGATCAGTTGATGTTCTTTGTGCTTTTCAAAATTTGTGAACAAAATACTGCTTGCTTTTAGTGTGTTGGAAGGTAGTCAGCGAGTTGCTTGTGCCAGCCTACTCCACGTGTCTTGGTGGGGTTTTGAATCAGGTTCCTGCAAATCGATGCCTCGAGGCATACTGTCGAACCCGCAGCCACGTGTGCACGCTCCTCAAATGTCTCTTGATTGCGTCCACTTCGCGCCACCCAAGGATATTAATGTGGAGCTGGTCCACAATAGTGATTTCCTCCTGGTTCAATTGCATTTTCCGGGCATTGGGAATTCGCCATCATCACTAACTCCACAAAATGCGCGTGGAAAAAGTCGTCTGTTTTCCTGTTTCATTTCGTCCAAAAGTCACGTTCCCACTCACGAATCCACATGGATGAAGTTGGTCGACGAGAAGACGCCTTCAACAGTCATGCGTTCTGGTGAATGGGTTCCCATACAGCCGGGAATGAAACATGTCAACGGTGAGATGTGGCTTCGAATATTCAGGCGACGAGTTAGTATAATGATGATTCCTCCGAAACAGGAAAAGGATGTGATGCGGGTAGACCCAAAGACCTCTGTTCTACAAGGTCCTCCGGTCACCCGTTATTACTATTGGGATTCAGGTCAGCTGAACAGAGCTTTAAACCCTCGCAGGAGCGAAATCCTTGTTAAGCATGACCACGTCTTCCTTCGTCTGGCGTGTAGTGGAGAGTTGTGGACAGAGGAGGATGTAAAGGGGCTTCAGAAAGTCTTCCAAAACGAGGAGGCAGAAATGGGCTCGAAAGTAGCTTCTAATGTTCAAGTAAAGCATGAATCAAATTCTGAAGACACCCCTTTTTTGGCAACTTCCAATCAGGAATGCAATCGAAAATATTGTCTAGGGGGTGATGTAAATCCTTGTAAAAATAACGCAGCCTTCGTATCACTGACTGCTGAAGAAAGGCAGGCGGAAGGGGAAGAAGGGAGGATGGAATCAGAGAGTAAAATCGACAGGGAGGAAAAAGACCTTATACCGAAGTTGACGGAAAATAATAAAGTTACCAGTGAACGCTCGTCGTTTATAGATACCGAAACTCATCCATTGGAACGACCTGATTTAAATGACGTAGTTCAAAATGGGACTTCGGGGGAGACAGTCTCACTTAAGACCGATATGGATGGAGATTCTCAAGGTAGGTTCCCTCAAAACAATGGGTATTCATTCAAGGCCGTTTTTATAGGCTTAAAATATGTGATTTTGTACTTCATTTTTTTGCATCTAGTAAGTCTTGTATTGTGAATATTTGTTGTCCAAAAACCTCTCAATTTAGCTTGCGAAGGATAGCTCGTTAGGAACTACTCTAAGAATCTATGCATTTCATTCCTGATTTCTTATGCTAAAGCAGTACCAATGTTTTTGACCTTGACATGGCTATGATTTGGCTCGTTTGTTGCGCTTAAGAATAGGATAATGCTGGCCGGTCACACTTAGAATAGGGGTCATTGTTCATTCCGATCCTACTGTACTTCGGTTTTTTTATAAATGAGATGTGAACCAGTTGGGGCAAAGGAAATAACCACTTTTATCACTCAACCGGGATCGCTTAATTACCACTGGCATTGAGTCTGTATGTCTATGAAGTGACCGAAGAAGCCTGTACAGTGGCTACTATTAAAGCCATTATCTGCAACGAGTATTTATAGTACATTTTACCTGATAAATTGATGCAGACACTTCGTCTTATAACTTGTTTCGGAAGAAATGGGATTGCGACTCTTAAAACATTTTGCCCAGCCCTTGGTATCTCAGATCCTACCCAACGTTTATTTCCAGATTGTCTGTTTTGCAAATAAGGACGCAGAATTAGAATGAAATAGGGGGTCGATCAACTAAATTGCACATCATAAGTGCTGTTCAGGTATTAGTTGTTCTTTAGGAGTTTTGAATCATTTTACACTAAGTAAACTTTTGTCTAGTTTACTGATTTAACACTTCTGGGTGCTTCAAGGGAGGTGTTTTTCTTTCAAAACCCCGAGTACTATCCTTCAGAGTGGGTTAGCAACTTCACAAAGAGTTTATTCATTTTGGAAATCACGCAATTCTCTTCAGTTAAATGAATTTGCTTGCTTTATTAGTTTTGTTGAGCAATTAATCGCATTTACGTCCTTCCGGGCAAATTAATGGAAAAATTTTAAACGCAGATTTGTAAAAATGCAAGCTGATGATTCGTATTCATTTTTGAAATCCAAGTAGAGCTATCACTGTATTTACTTCAGGGGTTTCATGATTTTCCTGCTCATATTCTGCTTATTTTTCAAAATGTTAATCGTTTGCAGACAAGCTAATTTTCCGTAATTCTCCATCTTCAAAGGATATGCAAACTGGATTTGAAAGTAAAAAGTATTTTATGGTTGTGATTTAGGCAAATTGTCGACAAGAACATAATTTCGCTTACAACCGGCAGTTAATTCGAACAAAGCAGTCCTTTGGTCTGAAGTAAAACTTTAGTTTTCTACCTATCTTATAGCTTAAAACTGGTAATGCAGCTATGAATAAATTGCTAATCAAACCTATCACTTGCCCTATTTTAGATCCCATTTGGGCATAGAATTCAGGTGGAGTCCCATTTGTTAAGTCATGTTCGAAGCAGGGCATGTTTCTTGACAATTCAAGTAGAGATATCCACTGAACAATTACACAATAAATGATTACTTCCTCGTAAAGCAGTCTTTTCATTAATCTACCAAAGAAGAATAGAAGTGTAATGGATCAAGTATAGCTGCCCAATTTCTGAAGTCGCCAATTTTGTCGTATTTAGGCTTTTTGAAGTTAATCTTTTAGAGGTACAGCACTCCGACACATTGGTGGAAGAAAAGGCTGTGGACGAGAGTGAGGGGAGTAAACAAAAGGCAGAGAATCCTAGGAGCATCGAGAGAGCAACTAGTTGCACGGATCTCCGCAAGGTAGTGGATGCTGCCACTGCCACCACTACGGAAAGGGGAATAAAGTGTGGTGGTGTCGGTAGTGATGGTGAACGCTGCCACTACTGTGTGGGTGTGCGAGACCAAGTGGGAAAGGCGGAGTTTTGTGCACTACAGGCACGTGTCGAAGCCATGGACAAGGAGGAATGGGGTCGAGTCCTCGATATTATCATCGGAAAAAGTAATGGCAGGGGTAGAGGTTTCATCCACCAGCAACCTCTCAATCGTTGTCGTAAAGATGTCAGCAAAGTTACCAACGAAAAGAAATGAGCCTTCTCTCTCTCTACCCTCATTCGCTCCCTACTTTTTAACACACACATTCTTCATCTGTTTCCCTCCGTCTTCTACGAATGTGATGACTGTGGGTTCGTAAAATTTTGCAGTTGGTTGGATTAAATAACTTTTTAATGAGCGATTCTGTTTATTGTGTATGTGCATGTGCATTTGTATGGTGGACTGCAGATGGTGTAGTTCACCCGCTGAAGGTTGAACAGCAGTTGAAGCTGTTATTCACCTCCCCGTCTATTCCACAAACTCCAGCTCGAAGATGTAGAGGGAAGACTCCAACTAGAGTTTCTTTATTTCTCACTTGAAGGAAGTCCTAGTCGTACAAATTGCAACAACTTACGAGGAAGTGTGAGAGTGATACAGCCCGTGTTATCGGAACCCTGTCTTTTCTCCGCGTTGCTAATAAAGCTTATTTGGAACTTACGGATTTCATCCGTCTTCAGCAACTAGTCAGTGGATGATGGGCTACAATGTAGGCAAAAACAGGAAGAAATGTTGACACTGGAGATGTGATTGAGCCGATGAATTGGAAATGTCCCTTCCGAGTAGGGTATCATAAGAGGAGATGGCAGGGGCTGTTACGACCCCTCAGATCCTACCTCAATGTGTAAGGCTAAGGCATCTGATAGGAAAGGAGTGGAGGGGCTCGAGAGCAGACTTGACTGATGACTGAATGCTAGAAGCGCAGGCCGTCCTCGTTCTAGCACATCCCTTGGCATATAATAAGACAAACTGGGGGTTTTAAGAGTTTCTAGCCCGTTTCGAGAAAAATTAACCAAGTGCGGAAACGGAAACTTCTAGATTCTACGTATTCTTAGTAAGAAGGAGAGAAGGTTGGGTAGAATGTCTGTTTGGGTTGGAAGTGTAGCAAAAGAGAGGTGGCAAAAATTGCGCTAGTCATCTCTACCCTTCCATGGTATTGCTGGGGGCAAAATCATCATTTAAGGTAGAGTTGGATCCGGCCTCAGAGGTGCTGGAACCCCTCAAACAAGCAGCGAAGACGCTTAGACCCTAGAAAGCATCTTTATTTCAAAAAAGAAAGCCAAGGTAGCTTTCTACTTCCACTTTCTTGTTAATAATTTGCTCTTCTGTTACAGCGACTTCCGTGACTTCCATTCACCTAGTCCAAGGCCTTATCCTGCTGTATTTAGCTAAACTGTATGCAGAATGTTACGTAGGGATGAACCATGGATCCACTTTAAAACATTGTCCTTAAATGTTATGGAGGAGGTGAACTGTTCATGAAAACCAGTTTCACCTCTGAATCAAATGGATACAGTGTCTGTATTACTTCAGGCGAACGTTAATTCCACCGACGGCACAGAAAGGTGACACGGAGACCCGACCAAGGAAGAGTGAACACGGCCACACCTTCCCCATATACCTGCCCAGAAATTTCCCCTCATTTTTCGGTTTTTTCCAATCGTCTGCCTCATTACTCCTCCTATACTTCATTAATCAGGAAAAAAGCGGTTGCAAATGCTTGAACACGTCTTTCTAGAGGAAGTTTCATAAAGTGCGGCTAAAATATAACATTTAGACACCGTGCTACTTAACCAACTCAACTTCCGTCACAAATGGCTTGTCGCCCCAATGCCCATTGGTTACGCAAGTCTTACATTCACCCCACGTGACCGACCAGCCAATGGAAGGATGACCTTGACCGCCACCAATTCAATCAATATTCTTTTAGAGGCGCTCCATTTAAACAAGCTCTCACACATGTCTCCCTACAGGATTCATTTTGACTACCCGACAAAGGTTGAGACCGCGAGGATGAACAATAAAGCTCGGGACCTCTTTGTCCGTCTTACTTTTCCCGGTCTCCACAATCCCTCCCCCAGACCTCGTCGTTCCAAATGGTGCGGCGGTTGTAGATGCAGCTGCACGTCAGCACCTTCCTCTTCAGACGACCATGAACTTGTTTGGAGTAATCTGATTAAGCCGCCAGCCAGATCTTCCTCCTCCAACACCACAGCCTCCAACTCACCGGGTAAATGGACTTCAGTTTTACCATCTCAGAAACCCGCAAATGGGGATATTTGGATTCGAGTGTCGAGTAATCGTGTGTCCCTCATGCTGATTCTGTGTGGACCCTCACCTCTGACACAGAGGGTGGATTCAAGGGCTTCAGAAGCCCAGCAGGAGAGTTTAAAATCGCTCAGTATTTCAGATTTGCGGGAACAAGAAGGAGAAACTTATTCAGAGCACTTTCCAACTGTCTACTACTACTGGGACTCAGGACGACTGAGTAGAAAACTTGATGCAGCGAAGAGCAGCATGGCGGTGGCAGAGGCATGCATCTGTTTAATGTTGGCAGCCGCCGCACGGGGAGAGGGTTGGAGTGATGAAGACTTGAAGATGGTGCACAGAAGCGTTAGAGTATCAACGCCACCAGTGCCTAAGAAACGAACTGTCGAGAAACGAGACTTCTGCTGGCAGGAGAGTGTCAAAGATACGGAGGAAGTGAGTTCCAAGAACTTTGTTATAGTGGACTATGAGAATGGAACAGAGCTGCCCTCAAAGAGTCCTGAAATCGGCGATGTGGAATCCAATGAATGTGGCGTGGAGGAGGAAGATTTACTCTCCAGGTTAGTTAATCGAATTGGATCAAATTCTGCTAGAACGTGCCAATGCAATGGTAAATGTAATCAGATGGGTCACATGGACTCATGGGCGGATGAAACAGTAGCGGAATTGCCAGCTGAGAATGCAGAAGGATGCACACCGGTAAAACCAATGCCAAGTAAGGCGGGAACGACAAGGACGATTGGTGGGACGCGACATAGGGCGAATATGAGAAAAGCGGTCAGGCGGCAGAGACACGAGATGCTGATGCAAATTTTTGCATCGTCACAACCTTCGACAGGATCTTCGGTCTCCTCCAAAGATGGTGGTGTGCTTGATTAAGGTAAATACGGAGTCCATAGTGTAGCTTTCAAGCTTGACAGGGTTATCTATGAACACCTGTGTAGTCTTCAAGCGTTACTTAAAATTAGCTCAATTGGACGTGGATCAAGACAAAATTTGGCTTGAATTTGTAGATGGAGAATGAATGTCAAGACATGTCCCTTTGAAACTGTTACCACCAGTAAGGTTCCGGATATTGGAATTTACATTATTTGTACATATGCGTTTTTCTATACTTCAAAATGTTAAAGGAAATAAATGGATAAGATTGGATTACATTCTATTTTTATCCACTTGTACATGCTGTCAAAGCTGCTGCTAGAGAGACAAACAAATGTGAAAATTGGGTTTTGATTCCAGTACCGTTTAAACTTGTTTCCAAACATAGAGCCATTTGATGTCTGGAATAAACTACATTGACACTCCAGTCCCGAGGATAGCAACTCGGCTCTCCGGCGCGATATTCAGGACCATGCCAGTTGCTCCCCTACTTGATTAAACGTTGGCAATACTTGATCGCTCGTGCCAATGGCTTGTTACGACTAAAATGGAAACTCCAAGTAACGCTCAATATTGAGAAATAGGTGTAATATATGATGTCATGAGAGCTAAAATATTTATTTACAAGAACCAAGTGCAGGAGCAGGAATCTAAGGGTCTTCTTTAGGGCATTTTGAAACCACTATAATAAATAAGCCTTATTGAATTTTTATTTAGTTAATAAATATTAGAATCGCGACAGACGTGCCTCCTAGCTCATTAAATCCTACCTAGTTAGCCACTGCAAATCCAAATTGCACAATAAGTTACAATTTTTTGGCAGGATTTTTCTTCGAGTAATCGGAAACCATCTTTAACCTGGTACTCAACTATTAGTAGTTGGAGAACAAGGTAGATGACCTTGGTTATCCAGATTTTACGAAATTTGGTGTGTAAATGTGGGCTCGCACTCTCTCGTGCGTTGCTGCACATTTAATGCTTCATAAATACTTCCTCTATATTGTTCTCGATGAACTTGCTACTTTAGCATAAGGTGTACAAGGATAATTAGCTCACAAGATGCCTTTTCGGCGTTCGACAATGTTGCATATCCAGTTAATTGTCTGCAATTTCTGGTGCCTATTGAATAGCTGTCATTCTCACCTATTTCTTTCTTCATTTTGTATTAATTAGATTGTAACTCATGAGTACGGCATTCTTTGCCAATCGCGACCATCTAGCTTCACTTTTGAGTGGTGCCACTGCTGGGTTCTGTGTTGATATGGCAGTTTATCCCATAGATACCATAAAAACACGCCTCCAAAGTGCCGCACATGTAGTGAAGCCGATAGGAGGAAGAATGTGTCTATTTGCTGGTCTCCCCGCCGTTATTCTTGGCTCAGCCCCTGGAGGTATAATTTACAATAAGTTATTGATGATGTACTCGCTAATCTTCGTGTTTTAATTGCTTTTTTATCTGTCGTATCTAGCTGCGTTATTTTTTATCTCGTATGAGACGGTAAAACATGCTTCACTGACCTCGGGTGTTCCGCTGTGGATGGCTTCCATGCTTTCCGCCTGCACCGGTGATGCGGTACTTGTCTCCTTCACTACTTAGGATGCTGTCCTTTTTATTGTAAAGTTTCTATGTTTAAAGGTTTTCTGACTTTAGGTTGCCTGTATAGTTCGGGCTCCTGTTGAAACAATCAAGCAACGAACACAAAATCAACCACATCTGAATGTCCGAATTGTTTTATCAGAAAGCTTAAAATCAGAGGCAAGGCCTAGATTCTTTGTATTACCCAAATTATGGAGATTACACTTTTTTCATGTTTGTAGGGATGGTGGGGTCTCTATCGTGGTTACTGGAGCCAGGTGTCTCGTGGTCTACCCTTCTGCCTCATTCAGTATCCCATTTGGGAAATTCTTAAGGTGAGAATCAATAGCGTTTTGATTCGAGTACTAGTCACTTAGTTTTGTAATCTCCCCTAAGCTTGCGTTAATCGTGATTTGTCATTTGTTACTTTTTCCCCTGCACTTCCTGTGTCTCGTTTATCTTCAAATTCATTTTTACAGAAGGAGCTGTTGAGCTTGCCTTACCGGGTAAATTAAATCAAGAGTGACTTATGTGACTTTATTTGGTAAAATTGAGTACGAATATGTTGGCTTTAAGATTATTAAGAAACATTTTCTGCCCTCATTTTCCTTCATATATGTTTCGTTCATACGTACCAATCCATCGCAGAATTAGGCATTTTCACCCGCAGATATTTTAATTTACCAGATCAGCGGTTGGATAATGTATGATGCTTGTACATTCCCATTTGCATAAGGGATGTCTTCCTGCAACAGTTATTTTCTACTAGTTCATGCAATGCCGTCAAAGGCCGTAGTAAAGCCTTCTTTTGTAGTGACTACCTCATTTTTGTATTTGCATAATCAAGGTTCAACGATCCGAGTGTACCTTACTGAAGAGGCGTTCCTTACGAGTAAAGCCTTTTCATAACCTCTAATCTTTATTATGTTGATTTCCCCGGCAAACATGGGCGTCTTTTTTTATTTTTGCGCGTTTGGACTTAGAGTGGCGGCCATGACCTGTACATTCCCATTTACATGTGGTATGAGGAAGACGAATCCACTTCTTTTTTAGATTGAGAGACCCTTGAAGTTCTAGTTGTGCTTTGTCATCCAAAAGTACTCGAATACACAGAATAAGGAAATGTGAAAGTATTGATGTATTTTCGAATTTTCACGTCGTTCGCATGCCTTGTGAAAAAAAATATGTTTGATTTTTCGTCCACTTTGAGTTTGATGTCTAGGCCTCTTAGTAACCTCTCAATTGTCAATTCTAGAAGTGATCTTTTACGACCAATTTTTGTGGTTGCTTCAACTGAAAAGCAGTTGAATGTTCTAGCGTAGGACCGCACAATCCGCACTTTTGTTTCGTTTTCCCCGTTGCGCACTCTTATCTGATTTACCCTTTTACATCCTGCATTGAATTTAATGTATGAATGTATCGGCATGCGCGGATTTCAAAGTCTATCAAGATTTATGAATGGCCTCTTAGGCTAAGGCTACTGTAATGCCAAATTATTTATGGAGATTCTGGTGCATGAAGAATTGAACAGTCCAAGCGCATACCTTTACGTTGGATAGATCACTTAGATTGATGTTTCTGATTGTTTTTTTATACGTATATTCGTTCCCACTTCGTCTATATCCCCTACTTCAACCTTCCTCTTCATACGACTAACAAGTAGGCAATGGTTAACATGCTTTTTTTTCCTTGTCTCAGCGCGGCATGGAGCATTACAACAGACGACAAACACTGGGCGCCAGTTCTTTTGACCTCAGTGTAGGGGAGGAGTGCTTTCCCAGTTCCACTGAGTCAACTAGCCTATCAAAGAAACAATTTGCAGTGTGTGGAGCCATTGCCGGTGCTATTGGTGGCTCCTCCACCACCCCCATGGATGTGGCCAAGACGAGGATCATGCTAGCCGAGGTAAGGCCCCTTTTCCATGCCTTTTTATCTGTTGCTGATCTCCATCGAAGATATTCACTAAGATTTTTATCGGATCATATTGCCATCATAAAGGCCTATTCGTGAGCAGCTGGAAGGACCCATAATAATGGATGGATAGATGTACCTTGCTGCAATGACTTGTAGGCTATTGTAAAAGTTACGTCTCCATCTGTTGGTGTGATAGTCCTGTTTGTGTCCCCTACAACTTCCTCTCTCGTTTCAAACCCAATCTCTTATCATAACGTTTCACTTCAACCTGATGTGATTCGAGATGCCGGAGTTGTTTGTATTGCTTATAAATGCGAAGTGATAAATAAATACGCGACTGAAATGATGTGCCTATGGTCCAGGTCTTCTGTACCTTCACTTCTGGGGATGAAACTTACAGTCGCTTTTTGTCGAGTTGTAAGGATGATAGCTTCAGCTCTCACAAAGCTTCTTGCACTTTTTCTGGAAGTGTTTATGGCAGAGGTGGCTGGTAAAATGGAGGAATGTCAATTAACGGTACTTTTTTTGGCAACAATACCTAATCTACAAACCATCTTCCATCATCGTTGTGCACAATGGCGAAGAAAATTTACTTGCCTGTGCGTGCAGTCATCTGGACAACTAGCTCTGCTTCAGCTAGTCTAATCATGCATTTATTTCAAAGGACCCGCCTTGCTCATGTATCAACAAGTTCTCACAAGACATTTTCCCATTTCTCTGAATATTTGGCTAACATTTACCCCGGATCCCGTCTCTTCTAGCACTCAGTGGACAGCCATATAAGCTCGAGGGACTCCCTCCCTTGAACTAAACTCATGAATTCCATTTTTTATAAACGGTTTTGTCTTTAAAAGTTAGAAACCTAATCTTAGCCACCTCTGTTCATATCCCACATTTGCCGCTCACTCGACTGTCTCTTGCATGGAGTCATGTGGTTGTCCAATGCAATTGCTAAGACAAGGTGATGGCCATCATTATCACTATTGCTGCTCTTCCTCCCGCCTAAAGCGAATGCGTACCTTCCCACTGGTAGACTTGCAGCGAAACGGGATTTCATGTCTTGTGTGGTCACTGATTCACCAGTCCTGACGGTCTGTTTCGAGCGGTCTGGTTGTGTGTTTCCAGCCCACAACATGGGCTTCTATTAATCAAGCAGTGTCATAGAGGTTTAATGGGGTGAGTCAGTCGTTTGGGGCAATTAATTAGTTGATATGGGAATGCAAAAGGTACTTCTTTCACCTCAAGTTAATCAGGTAACATTCTAAAGCGGTACGTTTTGTAGGATAACTGGATAGTCTTGTGATCCATTTGCTTAGCGGCTTTCACCATACGTAGTTCATAATGGTTAAGAGAAGAGGGCCTTCATGAACGTTATCCATTACCACCCTCTGGGCGGCGCTTCCTGCAGTCGTGCTCCGCACCTTCGCCAGATGCTATACCACCAACGCAGCAAGAGGTCTCTGCAAATTTGAAGTATAATTACTCAGCTCGCAAAGCAGACCCATCTGCGTCGTATTTGTCAGAACCAAACGATTCCTACATGGTATGAGGATGGGTTCAAAGAATTAAGGAAGGCTAGTGCGGAGCATCGTACCGATAGATGATCACGCAGCCATCTTTTCTTCACAATGCCCGTGCGCAAACATTACTGTGCACTTTTGCATTCCCACAAGTTACATCAAGTTATTGCACATGACTTCTCTTGGTCACCTGGTAGGATCCGTGGAAGTATTTTTGTTGGATTTATTGCCAATCTCCTCTCCAATTTATCAAAGCTTTGGAACTTCATTTTCAGATGATCTTATCAGGCTGTCCTACTTTGTATTGCCCAGCCATTCGTACCCTCTCTAATTGATAACACCTTCAGAAAAGCCACCTGTCTCCTTTTCACGGCAGAGATTTTTCACGTGGAAGGTGCGGATTTGATGCAAATATCAATTTGTCAACTTGAGATCTTGAGTAAATATCGACCGCTGAAATCCGTTTCAGTAGTATTAGACGCCTCACACCTCATACTGACCTTATGTCATCAAAAACATTGTTTCATATTAAGTTACAAATTCCTTTGTTAAATTATGTCTGCCTCCTAGGGGTATTTGGCTCTGCAGAGTAAAATTTCTACTTTGTTTTTTATTTCTGCTAATTAAGCAATTTCTTTTGGGATCGGGTGACTGCTTCCTGAAGTAATTCTTTACTTTTCTTCTCAGAAGGGAACTCCACTGGCCTCGGGGAGTGTCACGGTCGCTTTGCGGACAATCTACCAGGAGGGCGGAATTTCTGGGTGGGTTAAATCACATTTCTCACCCTTTTTTCGTTTCTCTCCTCCCTAAAACATTTTGATTTGCTTCTGGTGAATCTTGGGAGGGTGTAAACATTCCTCTAACTGGCAGTGTCAGACATTGGTAATTCGGTCTTTACGATTGTTTACATTGCCCTCCTTGCATTTTGCAATGCTTCTTGGGGTGAGAGCATTGGACTAGCCTTGTCAAGGTCTCCCACCACCGGTGCACTTCCTTGTTGTTGCCTTTTGGAAGTCTTTTTCTACTCCAAACATGAAGCATCGCAGAGTAAAAACGTGCTTTCTGTGTTCAGGAATTCCGCCCTATCTTAGGCTGTTGCCTGGAATGTGCAAGATTGCACGATTATCCCAGTTGCGTAGTAGGTATTGTACTGAACCCTTCTCCATCCCATTTCAACGGTTGGGTGCACTGGATTAGTGAAAGTTCGTGTCAGAATTAACTGATATTAATTGTAGTCTCCTTTTTTCCTCGACATTCATAATAATTCGTCCAATGCAAATCACATTACTGTGTTTTACGCTTTCCAAGCTGCATTTTGCAGATGTGTTCATTCTGGAGATTGCAGGCGTCGTGAGTTAAGGATAGACAATCTTCCATTGCAAATTTATTTCACTTAGAAAACTATGGTGTCAGAAGGTTGACCTCCAGACGAGTGGGGGGGGGGTGGATAGTTGGTTAGACATATGAGTGGATGTGTGAATGTAGGATCAGAGAGTAGGACGCATTGAAGGTTGGATGGTGAGCTGGAGAGGCATATTAATGGCTGGCTGTATGAATGCCCACAAAACAGCTAAGTGTTTGGTTGCTGCACCCTTCAAATCACACCAATTTTCCCCCTCTTTTTAAGCCTTTTTGCTGGTCTGGTGCCCCGTGTTTACATCAAGGCCTTCGGTGGTGCTGTATTCCTCGGTCTCTACGACATCTCCAAACGCATGTGGCTTGCCAACCTACCTACGAAGTCTTTCGATGCGGACTAGATGCCGTCACTCTTTTTAAAATTTCTCTTATCATGTATAGGCGCCCCTCTCCAAACCCTCAATGCCGTTTTAACTCCGCCAGCCCGTTCGCTGACCTGCATGCAGCTTTTCTAGATCTTCTACTTTTGTACACTTTCGGTAAAATTTTTCGTGTGTCAGATTAGGCCGCTTTTGAATAAACCATTGTTTATTTTTTCAGTCTTTTTTTGCATCAGCTCGCAAGTGTGCATTCGAAAACTCTGTCGCCTTTACTCATGCGGTGCCATTATTAGTGCCCTTTTTTCTATGGTGTTTATTTGTTCCCTACTCATTCCGTTACCAGTAGTATCGTCTCCCGAAACCGCTCTGCCCTCATCACTACCTCTTACATGCGCCCTTTCTCACTAATGGCATGAGGCCGTCGCCTACTTGCTGAGTTCATGTGAAACGCAGTTGATGTGATTGTTTTTTGTATTGAAATTGCGGCAGCGTCATTTTTTTTGTTCGCGAAATCCGTGAATGATTACTTTTTAAACTGCAAGTAATGTCCGCAAGGAATAAGTGTACTTCAATCCGGCGATTGGGATTCAGGTCAGTGCGACTTCTTAAATTTTTTTCCCGAGGAATTTTCAAGCCATCAGCTTCGTGGGATAGGCTTGATGCTAACAGTTCCTCCTTTATTAAAGTCAATTTTCAACCACATCTAAGTTGCGACTTTCACATCTTTTGACTGAATACTGGTATTGCTCCAAGGCTTCGGGAAAAAAAAAAACTGGAGTACAATTGGGTTGTCTTCTCAATAGCAATTGCGCACCGTCAATCTGGGGAAGTTTTAGCGTTAGCGGTTGCTTATGCGGTGTACGCAGTATGCTTGCATGAATTGGAGGGAAGTCGGGTTTAACCCCTAGATCAGGTAGCAACTAACGGTTCAGTTTTCCTGCTCACCACTCATTGCTCCACAAATTCCTCTAATGCTTTTGTGAGAAAGAATTTCTTAAGACTCATCTAAGAGAACTCAATTAGACATTTTTTCTCGTTGTAGTTGCATCCATCTGTAATTGCCTAAGGCGGTGTATTCACAACTCATTTTTTTACGGAAAAACGGCGGATGGATTCCTTCATAGATTCAAAGTGGAACCGATTGTTTTTATGTTTTATCTGTCCCTATTTTAGACATCCAGTCTGTGGAGTGTGGACCGAGCGGTACAATTTTGCGCGGGCGGCACCGCTGGACTCCTTGTCGATGTCATTCTCTACCCTGTCGACACGCTCAAGACCCGTCTCCAGTCTTCCTCTGGTCGCATTTTTACGCCCTGTGGACGGCTTCGGCTCTTTGCTGGTCTACCTACTGTGCTTTTGGGCTCTGGACCCTCTTGTAAGCGTTTTAATAAACAAATGTATTCTTTGAAGCTCTGTCTGATTTGAATGAATCCCTCATTATCTCTCGCTTCTCGCCTTTAAGTAGTCTTCTTTCGAATTCTCTTTTCTATTCCATTCCAGCCGCTGTCTTCTTCTACGCCTACGAAGTCTCCAAAGACGTCTCCATAAAGAGTAGTGCACCAATGTGGGTCGCTTCCATGATTGGAACCACCATAGCTGAGATTGTATATGCCTTTAACTTATTCTCCGCTTGACCCTCCTACCTGCCTTACTTGGTGTGTTCTCTCTGCCATAGACCTCCATGGTGCTTTGGGTGCCCTGCGAGAATGTCAAACAGTCTGCGCAGAGTCGTCCCCTTGACTCGCTGCGGTCCATTTTCAAAAGCTACGTCCAGCATGAAGTAGGATTTGTTACTATTTTATTCGGCCTTGAACGATCCCGTTTATTTGAATCATGGAGGGAGGGGGGGGAATGATTCTTCATAATTTGCATGGCTGGATGATTTGATGAACAAATAACTAGAGCGATTTTATTAGTAATAAATAGACGGACGGGTGGATATACGGAATGATTGTCTAAAAGTACGGGCAAAGTGTCTCTATTTCACAGTATGCCAGTCCTTTCGGAATTCTTTCCTCTATTTCAGGGTTGGTTGGGCCTCTACCGCGGCTACGTAAGTACGGTTGTTCGTGATCTCCCCTGTGCCCTCATCCAATTCCCCATTTGGGAGGCTCTGAAGAGCTTCTTTGCGTGGAGGAATCAGTGTCCAGAGGAAAGATGTCCTTTTCGCGATGCCTTCTCCTCTCCCTCACCCTCCAATTTGACCGGTTTTCAATTCGCAATGTGCGGCTTCCTCTCCGGTGCAGTTGCTGGTTCTGTCACCACTCCATTAGACGTGGCGAAGACACGAATCATGCTTGCGAAGGTGAGCTTCATTTTTTTGTCCGTTATTTTTGTTATCATAATTACACTACTTCTAAAGCTGAGAAATCTGGAAGAGCTCGCTTTTTATACGACTATTTAGCCCTATAAATCATTAGATAAAAGTTCTTAACGCTCGTTTACAACCAGTACTTCCTAATTGGTTGATAGGCTGCTCAATTATCGGATTGGTTGCTGGCTGAGCACTTATTTGATTAGTTAATGAGTTGAGCAATCATCCAATTGGTTGATTTATTAATGTTTTTTTAGCGGAATAGCCCCCTCGCATCGGGCAGAATTTCTACCGCATTAAAGGTAATCTACCAAGAGGCTGGTATCACTGGGTGAGTTGACTACACTCGAGTTTTATTGGTTGATCATGTAGATTTGCTCAATTTCAGTATTTGTCGGAATTTTATCTATATTCTTATTCTTAATAAAATAAGTTATTCGTCTTTTGATATTGCAGAAACAGAACATTGCTTTGCCCTTGTAATATGAATGGTGTTGGCAAACAGAATAATCAAATATGAGGGACGAGATACAATGCTTTGCCCCTGAAAGTTTAGAACAGGGCTAGCTCCAACCACCTTAGTTTTCGTTTTACTTTTAATTGTTTATTCTGGTTTTCTCGTAATTCCCTAATATTGATGGCAAAAAAGAGTGTTAATTGTTGTCTGAAGCTTGGAGAATTGTGATGTAGCACTGTGGTGTGCGATTTTCCTACTTCCAAGTTTGACGTTTTAAGGCATGAGTTTTTGCATTTTTCTACAGTGGCAGATTTTCCTCCATTTGCCTACTTCACTACTTCAGGTTGTCCTAACCATTACAAGAGCAGTGATTTTCCACACCTTGAAGTTCCATTGTAGCGTGAGTTCTTTAGCCTTCTGCAGATGAAAAACTTCTCCGCACTGTACACGCACACACCCAGGTGAGGCACAGTCTTTTAGGGTCAAAGTAGTGTCGCAAAGTTGTCGTGCACTGAGCGAATTGTTTGTTAAAAACCAGTGAATTATTTGTCCTTTCGCTTAACCTTTGACTATAGAGGCCGTTTCTCACCACAAATTACTTAGTAACAATGGTGAAAGAAATGCAAAACGAGTTTCTAGGGCAGTAAACTTGTTGACGGCAGGTAATGCATGGCGTGTTATACTCATTAATCTAGCAGTTTTTATCACGTCTTTCCCACCTAATGTCGATGTAAACAGTGTTTTATTATCCCTCGCATTAGACTCAGGTAAATGTTCTTACACTCTAGCCTCGACTTTTGCGATTCTTTAAGGTCATACTATTCACCTATCGTGGAGAATGGAAGGTTTTCCTGTGTACGATTTATCACCGTCAGAACCACTTTGGTCGGTACTTTCTGCTCCCACACTTCGCCTCTGCAGGCTTAAAGCCTGGTTACACTCAGTTCGTAAAGCAGGCACTCTCAAATTGCATCCGATAATCCAAATTGACTTTAACCGGTTTCCTTTGGTCACTGAATGGCTGTTTAGATTCGACGTGAATCTGCGCCTTTAGGTCTTTGTAACAGGCGTTTTCTATGAACCAGCTGGTCCGCCTTTAAATGGGCACCTTGTGGAAGCGGAAAAGCCGCCTTACTTTAAAAGCGTCCTGTTATTATCTATAAGAGCGAAACGAACGTCCGGTTAAATGCAAAAAGGTTACAACTACTGTTAAGTGTGGTTCTAACAACATATTCACATTCTCTTTTTCACCAGCTGGTTCGCTGGACTGATGCCCCGAATCGGCCTCTTGTCCATAGGCGGTGGCATCTACCTCGGACTCTATGACATCACTAAATCCTACTGGAACAGCATTCTTGGACCTTCGATGGAGGCGAAATTGAGGCCCTAGGTGTCGTGGCTTGCGGCTGTGACTATCATGGCAACAAAAGCCCTAGGAGTGATAAAAAACGTTGGTTGTCTTTATGCATTCCCGCCGCAATATATGTGCATGTTAACATATCCATTGTACAATCGAATTTTCACCAAGCAAAGTGCAAAAAGTGGCAATGTGATGACAAGGCTTTCTGCGTACACCATGGTAAGCTTTGACGCGATATGACCCATCGAAAGTCGGTTCAGGTCCAACTCTTTCACTCTAGTCACTCTTCGGAAGGTTGTATCTAACACTGTAGTGGTTTGTGTGTGGTGGAGATTGGGCCAAAGGGCATTGGAAGGGTCACCGCTGAAATGTCTTTAGGTATGCAGATGTCATCATGCTGCGTTGCGTGATAGCGCCGTATAACCTGAGTGGCGTCAATCTAACCGTCATGTTGTGGTTGGTAGGCATGCACTGAGAGTGTAAATAATGTCGTGGTTTTTTTCTTTACACGATTTAGCCCCTCGATTTCTAACTGAATGGCGTGGTTCGTACGTTTGGCAGTAGTTTGGAATCACTTCCGTTTTGTAAAAAAACGCGATTAGGTAAAGATATTTGAATGTTAATTTGGGTCAGTACAGGAGAAGTAAATGCAGAAACCTTCATATTTTTGTCGGAGAGACACAGGGCTGCCGCATATCCCACTTCAGTAAAACATTTTTACTTCCGAAGTCAGGGAAACGTCTAGTCATTGTGTCCTTCACTGCCTGCTACTTAAAATCATTTCAGTGAGATAGCCGGTACCATTTACATTTGAGGTGACGCAAGTTTAAAAATATTTTGAATGCAGAGAGACAAATACCGACAAAGAAGTGAACTTCCTTTCCACTTCTTCGTCCCTCTTTGAAAGTTCAAATCGTTTCTCATCAGAACTGTGCTCTATTTAAAGCATTGAGGTAGGAAATAACTGTGAAAAAGGAGTGACTTGTAAACACTTTTAGCTTTTAGTTCGTCCGAATTTTGTAAAAGGTACTGGGTGCCACAGCTAAATGTCCCAGGAGGAGGCATATGATGTGGCTGAATGGCTCTGCTGTTAGCTCACAGTAAACATATTACCAACCTCACCGCTAGCTAAAGAAACCTCCAGTCCTGATCATTTGACATGGGAGGACGTTCCAAGCCTCGAGAATCGGCGTTACGTTAATTAACCTTAAAAAACCGAAAGCCTACAAGTATTTTTCTCACTTTTCTTCTTCCGATTACGCTATAAGATGCATTAAGGAGTCTAAAGGACTGCTGTAGATGGGATGCCCAAATGTTAAAAAGTTGAAGTTGAAAAGCGAAAAATAGGCTAAGCCTGCTTGCTTTAGCAGAAGTGTAAAGCATTCTTGGCCTTTCATTCAAGTAGGCGTGACATTGAATACTATCGCCAGTGGTGCATCTCTCGATTCTGATAGACCTAATGAGTATGTCTCTTTTGCGTCTGATTATTGGGTTGGGCGAGTAGGTGTCTTACAGAGGTCACATTGCCCTTCCCTCTCGCCATCCGCAGAAACCTTCGCCTAAAGGTGACACGTCAGCTTTGCTTAATGGTCATTTCTCCTTGTCACTTTCTTTCCCACCCAACGCCTCTCTGTTACAGTGGACGTCGTGTCTTGACAATTTGTTCAGCTTCCAAACTACGCAGGCACTTGAACTGGAACTTACACTCGGCCCCCGGGGCATACCAGCCCTTCCGTACGTTTTTAAGTAGCATGCTCCGTCACGCTACCGCGGCTTGCTGCGGCGTCAGGGAAGACTTAGGGTGATTCAGTGAACAAAGGATATTGCTTATTTATGATGACGCTCTATTTCTTGATCATAAGGTCGTAAACGTCTATGTTTACTAAATCCATAATACCGGCTAATCTCGCGGCCTGATTGGTTGGTTCGTGTTTCGTGCTTACGTGGCCAGGACTTCGAGGCACTCAATTCCCCTCGAATAATGTTTTTTTTTTATAATTTTGAGAGGCTGAAAAGTGCTTTTCAAGCCCTCCCCTCCAGTTGCAACAGCGCAGAGTAGCAGTGGAACATACTCCTTGCTGACCCACAGAAGGGTTTTAAGGCTGTTGTGCATGACCCCAAGGTCATGGCGCAGAGCGGAAGTATAACCTGTGGAGATCGAAGTGCTTGCGAACTTGTTGAGTCAGTGTAGGAGCAAACACGTAACTGTCCGACTGCTCTCGGACAAAGAAGCCTGACGTCCGAGTCGATCATTGGTAAATGGCACCATTGGTCTGGGATAATCGCTTAGTCTTGACACAATTGAAGCACCATCTGGCAAAAATTTCCAAACTTAGAGACACCATTGGCTTCCAAAATGTCCCACATAATTTGGACGCTGCTTGAGGTGTCTAAAACAGTAGTTGAGCACTTCTGCTATCTGCTGTAACGAGTGAACAGGGAGGAAGTTGTCCGACCTCATTCTCCGCGGAGACTTCGCTTTACCGAGCCACGTCGGGCCGAGAACTTCCCAACATTCTGTCAATTACCGAAGCTGCGTCACCACTTGCAAAAGAAAAATCCGCGTTGTTACGTCAGCCAAGTTGGACTTCGTAGGAACTCGATTTGCCTGAAAGCACGATGAGACAGACCGATGGAGAATGGCCGTGGGGTTGGAGGACTTCGTGAGGCCGAATCCACGATATCGTTTCGCTCAGCGATTTCAATTCCTTGCCTGTGTGACATTAAAGACACACCTTACGTTCCTCCAGGCGAGGTGAAACTTCGATTTTGCGTGTTACTACCACTTTCGAAGCAGAAATAAAACGAAGGACCACGAACCTTTTACAACTCTCCAACGTTGCAACTTGGAAGTTTACGATTGCGTTACCCGCAACCGCCGCGATGGCCCTCGGGATCAAATGGAACCGCATGGAGAACCCGGAAACCCTATCAACCCGTATGACTCGTTAATATCACTAGGACGCAGGTTAGCCTCAAACAGGCGAAAAGCAGACGAATCCCACCCCCGAACACAAAGTTAATGATCCACCCTAAGGTACGGCGACAAGTTCACACCTAACGACCTCATTCTACTTTGTGGCTCCAAACCTTACTACAAACAGTGAAAGCAAATTGTTATAAGACACAAATCTAGAATTCACTGAGGTCAGATAATGATTTATTGAAAATGACGGAAGGAACTGGGAGTGTAGATACAGTTCTATATTCCACAAATTGTGACTAAATGGTTTTCATATAAAACCTAGTGCCGAGAACTCTGGAACTTTCGCGGCATCCCTAGGATTGGTAGCTAGACAGGAAGTCAGTAACAATGGTCTTCAGCTTTTCGTCCATCTCCGGGGAGATTTCACCAACCTCACGGATAGTTTTCAGGATGTCCTGATGGTTGGCCTTGAAGTATTTCAAGAAGTCCTGCTCGAATTTGGTAATCTTCGAGGGATCCATCTTGTCCAAGTGGCCACGGACACCGGCGTAGATAACCACAACCTGCTCCTCGATAGCCATGGGTACTAAGCACAATCAAGGAAAAGTAACCGTAGCCTACCGTATTGACCCTGCTTCAGGAGTTCGGTTAATCGAACGCCACGATTCAAGAGAGCCTGGGTGGTGGCGTCAAGATCAGATCCAAATTGTGCAAAAGCAGCAACTTCGCGATACTGCGCTAGTTCCAACTTCATGCGACCAGCGACCTGTTTCATGGCCTTAGTCTGGGCCGCGGAACCAACACGGCTAACGGACAGACCGACATTGATGGCTGGACGAATGCCCTTGAAAAAAAGCTCGTTCTCCAAAAAGATTTGACCGTCCGTGATGGATATTACGTTGGTTGGGATGTAGGCGGATACGTCACCGGCCTAGGATAAACAGAACCTAAGGACTTCAAAATTGACTGCCTACTTGGGTTTCGATGACCGGAAGAGCTGTAAGAGAACCACCGCCGTACTGATCATTCATTTTGGCAGCACGTTCGAGCAGGCGCGAGTGTAGGTAGAAAACATCACCGGGGTAAGCCTCACGACCTGGTGGACGACGTAAAAGTAGAGACATTTGACGGTAGGCAACAGCTTGCTTGGAAAGATCGTCGTAGATAATAAGAGCGTGCTTCCCGTTGTCACGGAAGTACTCTCCCATGGCGCAACCAGAGTAAGGAGCGAGATACTGAAGTGGGGCCGCATCAGAAGCAGTAGCCGACACGACAATGGTATACTTCATGGCCCCAGCAATGGTCAGACGCCTGACGAGCTGAGCAACGGTAGAGCGCTTCTGACCGATAGCAACATAAATGCAAAAAAGCTTTTTCTTCTCATCAGCACCATCGTTGAAGCGCTTTTGGTTGATGATGGTGTCTATAGCGATGGCGGTTTTGCCCGTTTGACGATCGCCGATGATCAACTCACGCTGACCACGACCAATGGGTACCAGACTGTCAACAGCCTTCATACCGGTTTGCATGGGCTCTTTGACGGAGGTGCGTGGGATGATGCCAGGGGCTTTGACACCGACTCGACGACGCTGTTTAGTGGAAATGGCACCAAGACCGTCGATTGGGCTGCCTAGAGCATCCACAACACGACCAAGAAGTTCCTCGCCGACAGGAACATCAACGATAGCGCCAGCACGCTTGACGATATCACCCTCTTTGATGAGTTTATCATTGCCGAAGACAACAACACCGACATTGTCGGGCTCCAAATTGAGAGCCATACCCTAGACATTTTGGAATGCAAAGGAAACGAGTTACCTTCAGACCGGAAGAAAACTCAACCATTTCCTCGGCTTGGATGTTCTTCAGACCATACACACGAGCAATACCATCTCCAATGCTAAGAACACGTCCAGTTTCCTCCAGTTCAGCTTGTTGAGCCTGTCCGAGGATGCGCTCCTCCAAAATGCTCGAAAATTCCGGCGATTGAGCGTAATTGTTGGATGTAGAGAGGGAACGCCCAGCATTAGAGAGTAAGGGAGCAGCCTACATGAAATCCCAACAAAGGCTTTATTTTCATGTAGGTCATGTGTGCATTTAGAGCGTAAAAGAAATATATAAATCTATGCAACTACTAAAACATGTACAAAGGCGCAAATACGATGTCAGACATACCAGCTTTAGCATATATCGCATAAAGAAACAAATATAAGTGCAAACAACACTCCAGTGAAATACCTACCTTAAAAATGTAACTTGGAGCCTTGGAAACCAGTGGGAAAACTGCACGCAGAAGAGACATCCTTGCAAATCACCGAAACTACAAGCCGAGTGCCTCGACTTAAACAAAGCGAAAGGTAATCTTGCATCAATGCTTGGCGGTAAAAACTGCAGTAATTTATTTTGGTGTAAAATGCATAAAAATAGTCAACAAAGCAAAATTTGCATAATCTAGCATGATTTTAGCAGCTTTGCCTGCTGTACCTTATTTCTCACATTTGAATCACAATTCTTCTTAATTCAGTAGGTTAAAAGAAGCCTTGAAAGCAATTCTGGAACAATGTTAATTATTATGATTTTTAACAAATGAATGTTTGCTGTGGTGTGACATGAGTCACAGACAATTTTACCGGAACAATAACGATCATGTGGCTCCCAAGTTTTTCTCTAGGTAGTAGGATATTACAGCATGGTGACAGAACATTTACTTTCAATACACGGCGGAGCTACGAAGCTACTGGCGTAGCCGTCGCGCTATGCCAGGCGGTGGGATTACAGCATGTGGAGACTCAGGTGTCTTGGTAGCTAAATGCGAAATTAGTCATCCCATATAGTAATTTCATTTCTGTGGGCCAAACCGTAAACGGGCGTAGATGTAGATGGATTTTTATCTTCTCTAAGGCAAGTTCAAAGCGCTGATGAATGCTTATTTCCACAGTCACTTGGCATTAATGCACGCGCACAGTCTCGCTGTCTGCGCCGAAATCCTAGCGATTACCGTCACCGCAAAGAATGACCAGCGAACCACGAGGAGCATAGACAGCTGGATCACCCGACTTGGAGACCGATGACCCCAAACCCCCTGTTCCCGACAGATTGCCTCTACCCCAGGCTGTAGCGGCCCAACAATTAGTCCCCCCCCCCCCACCTCGAAGATGTGAAGCTGTCCCGGGAGCGCGACACGCATCGGACAACGGTTATCCGCACTCTATTAGCTCTACTCACCATTCAACAAAAAAAGAAAGCACTACCTCGCTACTAAGCAGCTAACAGTAGTTATTTCTGGGAGTGATGATACAAATATCGCTAAAAGCACCCAGCGAGGGCTTCACCATTTATATCAAGAGACCCTTCCGGGCGCACGCGTTTTCATCGATCCACTTCACCAAAAACAATATCCAGGTTACCTAAATAAAAAAAATCAATGTAACGAAAGGCATTTATGACCACCACTATATTAACAGAAAATTGGGTTAAACAAAATATGCTACGTATTTGGAATTTCACAGCACTTATGTACAGCGATTCGGTAAATGAGAAGGTAAGACGGTTTTAATTAATGCAGCAAACATACCTAGAACGGAGACGACGTCGGCTAGCAGGAAGCCCTTACAAAGCTTGTTGCAAGCTGCGAGATGCGGAAAGCTAGGAGTGCGAAATTTGCATCGGTAGGGTATATTACTGCCATCGGAAACAAGGTAAATACCGAATTCACCCTTTGGCGCCTCCACAGCCGTGTAGGTCACACCTGGCGGTACCTATATTCGTTCGAAAGACACTCAATGATTGCACCACTAATCGAATGAAGGATTACCCCCTCCGTCATTTACAGGATTAATATGCTTAAAATTAGAACATTTAACATTTGGTAAGGATTAACATTAGATGTTAAGCTTCAACACCAATTACTAACACCTCATAGTGAAAAAACTGTATTACCAATAAGCTTTACCATTCATGGAGTCTACACAATAAGCAGAGCGGCATATCTGGTGGGAAACGGGAGGATCAGGCCAAATACGAAATAACTAAACTATTATCACGAGCAAGTGAGAAAAATTAACGGACCGATAAAACGGCGATGGAATTGAAGTGAAAATGTGCGTTTTGTAAGTAAAAATAGCAGTAAATACAAAAACTAGCATTCAGTACAGTCATTCATTCGAAATGGCAGACCAGTTAAACAACAATTGGGAGCTAAAACTCACACTGTATCCCTCCGTAAAGAGCTTAAAATGATGAATGAGTGCTTCCATTGAGCTCTTCATTTCGGCTCTTTTAGGCGGACAAATTTTGGCGTCATCGACTTTGATTTCACCAGGAGGCATCTTATTGAGGCACTGAAGAACGATGCGGCAGGATTGGCGCATCTCTTCGATACGCAAAATGAATCTGAGACGTAAACATAGAAACAGTGAAAAAAGATAAGTGCTTTTAAGGCTACATCATTCGGGAAATCTGACCTGTCGTATACGTCACCATTGACACCAATCGGCACATCGAAATCCATGTCTTCGTAGGCATCATAAGGTTGTGTCTTCCGCAGGTCCCACTGAACTCCAGAGCCCCTCAACATGACCCCAGTAAAGCCGAGATCGATGGCGTCTTCGGCACTAACAACGCCAATGCCTTTGGTTCGGTGAATCCACAGAGGATTGGTTATCAATAAATCCTCCACTTCATCCAGGCGCTGTGGCAATTTTTGAATGATTCCATAGAGATCCTCCATGAATCCAAGGGGAATATCAAGGCTAACACCACCGGGGCGAACGTAGGCAGCATGAAAACGAGCACCAGATGCACGTTCGTACATTTCCATCAACTTTTCACGTTCCTCAAAAAGCCAAAAGAACGGAGTGATGGCACCCATGTCAAGGATGTTTGAACCCAATGCACAGCAGTGATTGAGAAGCCGTGTGACCTCAGCAAACATAGCTATAGAAGAGAGAACGTTGGTAAATGATATCATAGATGTAGGAGTTTCAGTAAAGAGGAAGCAAAACCCACTGCGAATATACTTAGCGCGAGGAGGAATCTCAATACCGAGAAGTTTTTCAACGGCCAATGAGTAGCACTGTTCGCTGGACATCATGCTGAAGTAGTCAAGGCGATCGACGTAGGGAAGGTTTTGAGTGTATGTTTTGTATTCCATCAGTTTTTCAGTACCTCGATGAAGGAAGCCGACGTGGGGATCCAGTCTAATAATAATCTTTAATTCGGAGAAAAAAGCTGAAGGAAAGGAGAACAGCCCACCTCACCGTCCAGCTCCATCACCAATCTCAAGACACCATGAGCTGCTGGGTGCTGGGGTCCAAAGTTGAGCTGCAGAGACTGGACCTCAAAGTGTCGAAATTCAAACATATTAGCTATACAAAAATAAAAATACAAAAAAAACTCACTTCGCTTCACGTATGCAGGGTCAATCTTCTCAATGGGTGTTTTGTATAGGCTTTGCTGGGCATCGACAAACGCCTTGTCGGGCATCCATCGTGAAGAGAGCGCCCTACCAGGTGATAAAAATGGATAATGGGTACCTTCTGACTGTTTCAATGAAATTCTTTGAGGTCACGCTAGAAGTAGCTCGACACAGGGAGAACATTTTTGGCCGAAACGACTTTGCTAAACGCGCGTTAGCCCTGTGGCACAAACATATATTGCAAAGACAGATTTAAGTTTATCCTTAATGTTATCAGTAAGTTAATGAAATACCAAAAAGCAAAGCAAAAAAATATGTCTTAAGTGATACATCAAAAAATGCTTATTTTTGGGTTCTACATTTGCTTCTAATACAATAATGTACTTAATAAACGACATCAGATGCTCTCATTAAAGCAGTCATGGTGTCTTTGGGCAAGTGGTTAACTCATAAATAAAAAATAGCCTTGTGATCAAATTTTAAAGCACTTGTGCCCATTTCGTGATCAAAATTAGGACTGCTCCGCAAATTGCTCACCTTTCATATTCGATTACAGAGGAAATCAAACAAATACATCTTAATGATGTCGTATTTTTTTTTGCATGGTTTTATTAAATATTTCTGGGGTATCTTTGAAAGTGTTCTGCACTGGCCTTTCAAATTTGTTACCGCCAACATTGTCAAGTGACAATATTCCAAGTGGCGCTATCCTTAAGTGGACGCGTAGTCACGTGCTTCTGTTATTTACTTTTGTTGACATTATTCAGTTAGGACACTTTGTCAATGCACTAATAGATTGCTTTCCTTTAGTTGCTTTTATTTGTAGTACAGCTGGGTGTATGTGGTTGATGAACTGCTTTTCGTTGAATCACTAGTTTTCACTTCTGCAAGTTATGTGGTTCCTTTTCCCTTCATCGATTTATTTAATATTTGTATATCAATATAATTCAGTTATTAGTTTGCCTTTGGCACATTCTTCTCCTGACACATAGTTTGCTTTCTTACCATCCCCGCAGTTGATACCCGAATATTATTTTCAAATTAATTTTAGCTTTTTGGAGGTGGAAATAAGTAATTACAACCTTATCAAATGTTTCCACACGAAAAAGCGACGGCCCTGTTATCTGGTGCAACTGCAGGTCTTTGCGTTGATTTGGTCGTCTATCCACTGGACACTATCAAGACGCGTTTGCAGAGCATCTCAAGATCCATCAGGCCTTCCGGTCGTCTGCATCTCTTCGCTGGATTTCCAGCTGTCCTCTCCGGCTCGGCTCCAGGAGGTTCATACTCTAGTCGTCTTAAATTTTTCGAGTTCCTCTTTACCATTTCTGTTAGACCCTGTATGTGGAAACACCTTTAGAGAACTTCAAGGCGACCTTTTTAGGAATAAATTTCCACCACTTTCCCATAGCTTCTCTTTAATCCCCCTGTTTTATTCCTATTTTTTCCCTAATTCACTGCTTATAATTTTGTTCTTTTTGTTGACCCTTTGAGAGGAAGTAATCTTAGGTGAAATTCCTTGAGCGACGCCAATAGTACTTTCTAAATGCTTCCAGTTTTTCTCATCTTCACTGACTAATGTGCACTTAATGTGCACTTTTTAGGAGGTCTGATACATAGGGGCAACCCTAAAATACATTGGCCTCATATTATTTCTCTGGATTCTAGGTTTTCTCGTTTTCTTTTTCTCCTCCACTTTTTTTTACACTTTCTTGGCCGCAATATGCATTTCTACACTGCTTCAGAAGATATCACTATGAGCTTCTTGTAGGAAGGAAACACGTCTTGGAAATATGTACTGATTCCTTCATCGTACACACTTACCTTTATGTTAATCGGCTTTTCTGTGCTTTTTCAATGCTCCACTTTGAGTATCCTTTTTTTTGCTGAATTTGATGAGTTGAAATAGCCTTTCAAGTCGTTAGGGCAAATCTTGAAGAAAGAAATTCTCCAAATGAAGTCTTCTCTTAACAGAGCAATGTCTAATCCGTTCGCATAGACGGATGCGAGAAATAAGTACTCATAGTGATCTTCATCTGCCCTAGTTTTTTTCATCCTATCCGCTGTTTATTTCGTTCTATGTATAGGGTCATTGCAGCTCTGGTAAGAACATAGTAGGGGGATAATATATCAAATTAATGTTGAGGACATGAAATACTAACCAGTAAACGACGCTGACGATTGTGCCATCGGTTAGGTCGGGTTTTATACATCAAATTGGCTCTCATTCTCGCAGTTTGTTAGAAATGAAGGCAGGCTGGACTACTTGCAGGGTCCGAATGGGCGTCGGAGGGTAATGGCAAAACGGATTTTTTAATTAGATAAATGCATGCTAGTCACAGCTACGACCACTATTATTGCTAATTCCCGCCTTATAATGTAGCTCCATTATCTTTCCCTTCGTCTCCCATTTCTATTCGCAGCTGCTCTGTTCTTCTGCGCCTACGAGATGACCAAGAACCGAACAGCAGAGATAGCACCGCCTTGGCTCTCCGCCATGCTAGCGGCAAGTTTGGGTGAGGTGGTTGCCTGTATAATCCGCGTACCCTGCGAGACGGTCAAACAGCGAGCACAAAGCCAACCTCACCTCGGCTTCGGGCGTGTTCTCTCCAACACCTTGCGAACCGAAGTAAGTGGCTCACTATCTATTTATCGCTCTGTCTATCTTCGCTTACTCCCTCCTTTATTGCTACCTTTGGAGCTTGAACGCATGTTACTGAACAACAGCTTCGCCATAATTATTTCCCAGCTTTCTTAATTAAAAGACGAAACGCAGGCCGTACTGTGGTTGATTATATTCTAGAGGGAACTACAATTATATTGTGCATTAAACACTATGAAGAGTTTCTCGCTCCTACCGTTTTGGTGGACTTTTTACAGTAAAGCGGAGACACCAAGTAACCCCCCGTGTGATTGCTTTGATAGGGTCTGGGAGGCATGTACCGTGGCTATCTCAGTACAATCCTGCGAGAACTCCCCTTTTCCCTCATCCAATATCCCGTTTGGGAGACTCTTAAGGTATGTCTCTCGATCAGTTGTTCTTCTGCCACTTCTGTTACAGGTAATCAGGCTGTGTCCAACCTGAAGAGCCGTCAATCATTCTGTAGAACTTATCCTCATCCTTCGTTAATCAACCCTATGGTAGAGGAGCTTTCGCTACGACCTTCCTTTTCTAACTAACATAGATGCAATGGAAGTGATTCATTGGCAATAAGGTTCGACATAACTGAAAGCTCTTGACACGTCAGCTTTGAAGCATTTTAATCAACAGTGAAAAGCCGTTCTTCACTAGAATGAGAGATGGGGAATTATCTCGAGCTTGATACATCACCAGAATCCAAGATCTTACACCGTGTTTATGTGTTATGTTCGGCAAACTCGCCTCCCTCATCAAATTTACACTGGGGCACTCAGATCATAAGAGATGGGATTGTGAAACTTTTCAATTAATTCAGGAATCGTGAACACTGCAAGAAGACGAAGAGTCTTGTGCATGCACGCAGTCCTCTTGATCCGTAGTCTGAGAATTGTCGTCGATTTCGACATTCAGGCTGCATCATTGATTCTCTAGGGTGCTGTGGGGACAAGAATGTTAAAGCTCGATAGAGTGCTTAAAAGCAGGAAACTGTCTACTTAATTACCTAATAGTAGCAGCAGAGATCAATGAGACGCTGCCTCAGGATGAGTACTGCCTTGTACAAGCCAAAGCTGTCTACTTAACTACTTGTCAGTAGATACGTGCATTGGACCTTATTTCTTTACCTACCTCCCATTTCTAGCGCTTCATGGAGCGGTATAATCAAAGCAGGACTGGTGGCAGTGGCAGCCTGTCAAAGGGACAGTTTGCACTTTGCGGTGCAATGGCTGGTGCCCTTGCCGGTGCCTGTACAACACCCTTCGATGTCGTCAAGACTCGTATCATGCTCGCAGAGGTGGGTTTTGTCCCAATGATGACACTTTTTGCTACTGACACAAATGGCTGTCTTTTTAAACCTCAATTCACTCGGTGACTGTCTCAAGTCATGGTAGGTGCCTACTATCCGCTTTATATGTGCAAAAATGTTGGCTTTATTCTTTGTTGGATGCGGAAGAATGTGGATGGTTTGTCGCCTAAAGCATGCGAGTGCACGCTATATCGTCACAAACTTCGGTGATCCCTTTAGTTATCATTGTTAAACATACATTTATTTTGACCAGCTAAGCTCTCTGCAAGGGATGCAGCTCAATGTGTCACTTTGTGGCATTTCAATTGTTGACTATCCTTCGAGACTTGTGGCCAATCTGACTGCTTTTTAATTGCAATTGGCAATGTTGCCTACTTTATTGCCTCTTTCAGAAGCAGAGTGCATTTTCCACTATCAATGTGTTGACAGTGACGCGTCTGGTCTACGCTGAGGCGGGCTTTCGGGGGTGAGCTTACCTCTGGTTTTTTCAATTTGATTTTCTGCAGTCCCTATACATCGCAAATTCGGAAATAACTGTGGGGTAATCAAATGACCTCCTATGTCTTTCATCGCACCTCGCAGCGATGACTTTTTGTAACTTACAAAGTAGTGTAAGGTACATCTAACTTTTACATAGATGCTTAGATGAATTTCCATAGGTCTCTCAGTACTTTACCCTCATATCAATACGTGTCGATTGGATTCGATAGTTGTGCTTCGAGGTTGTCAGCCTGTCTGCATCAAGAATTGAGTTTAACTCAATTAAAACCACAGAAGCTCCGCGTACAGATTAATATTCGGTGTTCGAAGAAGGTGAGGTCGCAAGATCCAAATGACAAAAGTTATTGCATCGACCTCTGCCGAAGACCACAAGAACGTTTTTTGATAACCTGATAGTTCGCTTCTGTAGAGATTTCCATCTTCTATTGCATTTAAGCCAGTTATCTTCTTACGCTTTCATTTGCGTAGTCTCTTTGCCGGTTTGGTTCCGCGGGTGAGCCTTCTTGCCATTGGTGGGTCAATTTTCCTTGGTCTCTACGACATCACAAAGGCCTTCTGGTCACACACGCTAGACCGGTGGTGATGGCGAATACGCTTTCATATCCATTTCTCGGGCAAATAGCTTGAGACTATGCTTGCTTGCGTCATTGCAATGTGTACAGTTTTGTTTGCTAACACAGATTAGAAATGCCTCCTCATTCTTGCGGGTTATCAACAGTCGCTGGTGTTGCTGTAGTTGTGGGACTGTCCTGAGACGGGATTTCGTGTCTAGGTCGGCTTTAGGCACGTTTCGGTCGTTTGGGGTGGGGGGGTTCTAAGGTATTAGGGTTGTTGATATCCTGGGTGCTAGACGTGGCTGTAATTTTGGGGAGAAGGTTATGCGATTTAACAACTTATGCATGCGATATCATTAAATAAGTCCCAATCGGTTGGAGACCAAGCGTACGCTTGTTCAAAATAAGTTGGTTGTTAAGGAAGCGTTGTGGGGAAATAACTTAATTGCTAAACCCTCAGTTTTGGTAAGGGGATACTCAGGGTGACGACATTGTACTTCTCTGGGCGACCTGGTCTTTGCATGATGCCAGCGGTCCTTTTTCCCTTCTGCAGTCGACAACACATTAGTGTGCCTTCTTCCTTCCTCAGGGCAACCTCAATGCAACGCAAAAGAGGTAAAATAATAACCTGAGCATATTTAAAGTTTTCTACTTAGAAAGCATGCTCATTTGTAAAGGTGCAGGTAGCCAATTAATGCTAAAAGAAGTAAAAAGCAAAAAAAATACAAAAATATTCTCGGAGTCGAGACCGACCTACACAGTCCCATCGTTATTCATATGTTGCACAACTAGGCAATTTTACTATTTAATAGGTGTTAGCAACCGGGAAATTTTTGCGTACCATTAGTTTCTGCCCAAGACCTGGATTAAAATATAAAAATCACTCAGTCGAGACCCTTTTTATCATTGGTTGTTAAAGGCAAGCGCAGTTGATTATGCGCTGATTATCTACTCAATCGTAGTACACTTCTTTGGTTTATATGCGATGGATAGATTTAAGGCACCCACGAGTGCTATAGATTTGTGCTATTTTATCAAGCAGCGCAAGGTACTATTATTGTTTCTTAGGTTGTTTTTTTGCAGAAATCCGAATTCGTCAGTAATGTTCCACCCATGTGTAAGCAGTTCGTTTCCATCCTCGTTTAAGTCCACTAGACTTTGCTCTCGGAGTCAATCAATGTGCTGATGGTTCTGCTTACTTAGAATATGGTCGTACAAAGGTCATGTGTTGTGTCTGTGGCCCTGTTGAAGTACGCTGCAAATTGTTTAAACGCATTTTTCTAGCTAAAGCAAGATGGACAACTTGTAACTTCCTTTAGATTCGCTCCATTCTCCTCGCAAATCAGGCGCGATACTTTTAAGGATGCTGAAGAGAAGCGGTTGAGTCAGCTACTTCTGACCGCTCTCGAACCCTCTGTTATTCTTGTGAGTGCAAAATGTCTGTTTATCTAAATCATAAACGTGAGACAATTCACTGCTTGAATCTCTGTTTCAATCTACAAGGATAGTTTTCCTCGAGGCAAGTACCAGATAGCCGTAACCGTCCTCGATGACGGCACAGAGCTGAATGATTACGTCTGCAGCACCTCCTCTTGTCTGTCTGCTGGAATTACTTGCGCAACTCTAGCTCTCGTTCACGCTGGTGTTCAAATGTACGATCTGGCCATCGGACTAGACGTGATGTCCAGGGCACTCAATTCAAACTCTCCTGAAGGCGGCGACTTAATATCATCGGTAGCAGTAATGCCTCAACTAAACCAGGTGACCATGTTTAACGGTACCTCATTGGGCCTTCGCTCTTTGGATGGCCTGCGGACGGTTATGGAGGAGGCTTTTACGAGAGCGGAGTCCATTTATGCTACTATTCATGGTACTCTTTACTCTATAATGAAGACTGATTACAAGGAATTGGAGAAGCCGGAATAAATCTGTATATACATTTTGAGTTTTAAATCAAATTAAGTTAGGGATGTCCGATACTTTTTAGTTTACCTAGGTATGTGCTTGTTTACTGGTATTCCTACATGAGGAGTGGAATGCGGGTGCATCTTAGTAAAATCGTTTTTCGGTACTTAGCCGAAAAGCACAGAAGAAAAATCGAGTAGAAATAGGCACCCGACCTGATTTTTGCTGTCAGGGAAGGAATTGTTGTCATCCGTCTCACTTCCACTTCGCTGTGGGATGATGCTCGGTGTGTGCTTGTCGATTCATGCTCATGGTGGGTTATGCGTTGATCATCAATAGCCGAACGTACCACGCACTGACTGAATGTTCGCGGGTGTGGCTACCGTGTTCCAGGACGGGCATTATCGCAGGCGAAATCTTTACCGGCAGACACGTGGTCGGTCGTCTTTATAGTGTTTACACTATGCCTTAGTTTGAGTACTTTGTACAAGTGGATGTTCCCGAGGTCTAGTTCGTTGCTTCATTTCCAAGAGGCTTCAAATATCGGCACATCGTGTTGCGCAAATGTATTGTCGTCGTTGCTGACCGCCTCAGCTGTCCCGGCTGGCTGAAGAATGCGTGTCAATTACTGCTACTCCTACAGGGACACAACAACCGCGTAATACTAAATACAGGGGTCTTTTGACTATCAGTAATCCAGATTAATTGCAAGCATCATACCGAGAGGGTGAGTAGTTTCTACAAACTACGTGACGATAAGCCTACGGCAGTTGTGCTTTCCACACTTCCGTGGCTTTAGATCCTGACCGTCTGTTGTCGTTTCACCCATTGGCACGCATTCGACACTCCATCGTCTTTTGCACGACCCCTACTTGGCCCTCAAGGCTGACAAGCTCGAATCACATTCATCAAGTCAAGCCTTTGGGGGAAAATAAAAATGCCATAACGACGCTCAGCTATGCAAGCACCTTGCAGGTCCCAACAAACTACATGAAGTCGATCGGTAGCTGAAGGGCTGGATAAAATCCCGGTTTTATCGATAAAATAATACAGACTACTGAGCTTAGGCACGGGTTGGTAACTTTTGAAGGCTCACGAAAGAACAGGACCCCCGAACTTCACCGAATAAAACGTCGAGGACCTACCACGCGCGACACAAGAAACTAGCTCAGTCTAAGTAGCCATATGCACTTTTGCCAAGCTGTTATTCGGTATTTCTTTGATGTAAGTCCCCAACTTGGACGCTTGTAGTGGCACAAGTACAACAAGCCAGGAATGCTGACACCATGTTGCACTTCGTGTTTGGTATAACTCAGCCGAGCCATTACAGTAAACGACAACCTGTCAAATTAATGACGGCTGCAGAGCTCTTCATTTGGGACATTCACAGAATTGGTGAGACCATCCGGTGCTACTGTGTAGACCACTTAGCTAAGGAGTGATAGACGTAAACCGCACAAGACCATGCAAAACTTTGTACCCACAAGAACGGACGAATCAAGCAAGGGGTATTTCGCAGCCAGCCATCGGAGCTCAAACGAGAACAGAGACGCACCCGAATGCCAACCACCCGTTCGCAATAATACAGAAGGCTCACACGAACTACTCCAGAGGAGCTTAAAATTTTCTCAAATGTACTCCTACCATACCAGTCAATACGTTGGAACAAGAAAGGCCAAATGACCGCAGATTCGGTCGGCAGATGAGTTTACCAAGAGTCAAGTCAGTCCTGGCACACACTGTAATACACAAACCAGCAACTGAATCGCTTCTACATTAAGATGTGGAAAGCCTTGGACAAAACCACACTAGCCTCTCTGCAATAAACAATGATATAATCAGAATAGGGACATAGAGATCAGGTTAAACTAAAAGGACATTAATTCTCATACGAGAAACAACTCCTCATTATTAAAATTCGAGGAAAATCAAGGAGAATGATTTCCTCATAACTTTATTTACAAACTTCTTAGGTCCATGAAGCATCAGCCTTTACATCGTAGGCTGTCCAGCTGCCACCAGCACCAGCGACACCGAGCTCCGGCATTCCAGCAACGGGGAGAGATGCCTCGGCGGCCCATTCCGCAGCTTCGGCCTCCGCTTTTAAAGGGGAAACACAATCAAACTAAATCACACCTTATGATCGGTTTGAGCTCAGACGAAGACAAAATTTACCTGCGTCAGCTGTTCCCTGCTCGAAAGGAGCCTCTTGGGCCTCCCCCTCGGCACCCTCAGGGGCTTCATCAACGTGCTCTCTCATGAGGAAAAGATCCATCATGACATCCCACGGCTGCGACCTAGGATCGAGACCGCGCATACGACGAACCTCACGAGCCAACATCCATAGCATCAGCGCAATAGAGTATTTCTGTATAACACCAAAAATGACAAACAAACTAAACAGCCTACATCGTTGTTGCATGGGATAGCAATATCGACGCATTGCAGTGGCGAATCAGTATTGCAGAAGGCAATAACAGGGATGTTGACAGCTGAGGCCTCACGAACAGGCTGATGATCACCCTTTGGATCGCATACAATGAGAAGGCGGGGCTCTTTGAATCCAGATTGTATCTGGTTGGTAAAAGCACCAGGTGTAAAGCGGCCAGGGACAGACGTGGTTCCGGTGTAGTGAGCAAATTTGAGAGCACCACGCTGGCAAGTGGGTTGACCACCGATTATGACAACATCGGCAGGATTTTCGATAGCACAAATGGCACGTGCAGCAAGGAGCAATTTCTCCCAGGTTTTGTTCAGATGAATGATATGGTTACCTTCATCATTGCGATCGTACACGTACTGCTGCATTTGGTAGTTAGCGTTTGTGCTACCGAGATGAACTTTGGCCGCAACCATCAACCTAATATCATCCTCCTTGAGCTCAAGAGCTTCAATTCCACCCGACATCGTAGGACAGCCCGAGAAGCCAGTAAGACACGAGCAGATTTCGAAAAAAGCACCTGTTTAACGCCGTGTAAAAATTTAAACAAACAAACGTGAAAGTATTTTGGGGATTTTCCCAAAAAATTAGCTGCGCGTATGCTAGTTTTGCATTTAAATATCTTTAGCAAACTATAATAGAAATGCGCACAACATTACGTGGTCAACTTTTGGCCGGCAATTTACAAGTTACGGTCAAAAATGTCATATTGGATTGAATCGTACAAGTTTTTTGCCACTTACCAATGTATGCAGTGATGCAGTTAATATTAATTTTTGCGGTGATTTTAAAAAAAACAGATAGAGTGGTTATTGCAATTGGCCTACAAACAATCCCGATAATTATAAAATATCGCCTGTCTTACAGCTGTGTTTTATTCTTGTCTGAGGCATCGACTTAACTGCTCTTGATTGCCAATCCTTGTCACCTATCAAAAGCCACGGATAAAGTTTATTTTTACATACCATTTTCTCATAAGTGAAACATCACACTGGGACAATAAATATCAAATTCAACACCTCCTTGGGCCCATTATTCTGAATTTTTTAGAGTTTAGATGTAGGAGGTGGTTTTTAGTTAAATTAGCCATGAGTTTGGTTTTGCAGGCATATAATCTCCGCAGACTGCTTTATCGCGTCGGCGTGACACCGTCCACGTCACTAGCAGCACATACCTTCTGAAAAGATCAGAGGGATACTGATAGACTTATATGCAGTAGAAAAAGCTAATTGTTCAATTACAGTCAGACCCTAGCTAAAACGGATTCAAATTCGCCTCCAGTACCTGTACATTTTTAAAGAGGCACATAATGCTCTTGTTTGAATGCCCTCATTGCGCAATGTAGAAAGTGAACGGTGACTGCGAACAAGCGAACCATTATGGAAAACTATTTTTTGATTGCTCAAAGTCGTTAAATAAATACATAAACTAGTGGATGATAGGCAAATCGTAGGGCAGCATTCGCGTTGTCTTAAGTCAGGAGTGGGTCCTATGGCAGGCATGTGCTATGGTTGTTTCAAATCTCGGTTACAATTATGCCTCTCTGTTTTTTTTTGAAAAAAAACTAGGTGCTTACTCTCAGAGAAGGCTTTGAGCACTACCGCCATGGCAACGGTGAGAAAACTTGGTTTAGGTGCATAGCGACCCCGAGGTTACTGCCCAAAACCGCAGCCAAGCGTCACAAAATGCGGGCCCCTCAACTCGCTGAACCTACTGAGATCAGCATTTGAGGGCTTTTCAAAGTCACATCACCTCTTGACAGCCAACCTATTCCTGTGTATAGCATGAAGGCAAACAACCCTGCACCAAGATATGTTAAAAGGACCCATCGCTGGCCGGTTTGTTTGCAATTGTATGTACTACGTGAGTAAATGCTGGCTCCCCGGCGTTTCCATTAGCTGAGCAGTGGCTAAAATAACAACCAATCAGCAAAAAGAAACCTAAAAAGGTGTCGATGGCATCTTGAAGTTGCTTCAAATTAGACGTTTTAAAAAGGGGGCTCCACATTATAAATGCCCTCTTTGCAAAGCCAATTTACCTCCGTTTTGAAAACTATGCATCTAACCTCTCGGCCCTTCCGTGGGTTTACAATCAGCCTTCTTCCCTACCGACATGTCTGGTCACGACTACGAAAAAGTCTCGAGGCGAGGACTTCAATCGAGTCAGAGTTTGTGGCACGATACCACGATAGCAGCATGAATTATGGCCTTTCCGCTTCTGGAGGTTATGGTCTTCATTGAGATCACTAGCTTTTGAATTGGAATTTCTAGATTTCAAGTCACATAGGGAAGAAGAGAAACAAACACGCAACACCCATTCCACATCCTGGGGTCTACATTACTCGAGTAGTTTTCAGTAGTATTTACCCAATTTCACCAACAATTTAATTAGACTTGCATAATTTATCGACAAATCCAGGCACTGTACCAACAAGACATTTCATAATATAACCTAAATTGTGATAACAGAGGTCATACCACTGATAGAGTTATAATAACGCATGACATTACAGTTGACTGCGTCGGTTGAAGGTCAAGTCAAAAAGGCTGTAGTTTTGCTTTGAATAAATTGATTAGTTTAAACAATGGGTCCTGCTGTAGCACCCGATTTTCAATCGAAGTCATAGAAAATCCCAGTAGCATACCAGAAGAGATATTACCGAGGTACCGAGGGGCTGGTTTTACTGGCATTGCCCGGAGGCCATGCCACTAAGCGGAATTGCAATCCGCCTGGACTTAAGTACGCAAGTAATTAAATACAGATTTTCAAAAATATCAAAGCATCGCACTACAGGCTTTCAAAATATTGCAATGCTAAATGGGCCTGTCAGTCACAAGTAACGCGAGGAACTACTGACACAGGCATTTGAGAATGCTTTGGGAAAACAATTCGCAGGATACCAGCAACTCATAAATCACATCACATGCAAGGGCGGGGTGTTCAGACCAAAGCATTCGATTTTGTAAAAAAGGCGAGTAGCTTACCAGTCTCTTCCATCGAGCGAAGCCAATGGATCTGCCTTTTCAATGGCTAGAATTCCAACCATAGGAGCAATTTCATTGGTTAAGGAGGTGCACTTTCATTGGTGAAACGAAACCCAATCAAGATTGAGGTAGCATCCCATCAGATCGCAGTCAAATGATTCGTTCCAAAGACAAACATTTGACGAAATGGGGATTCAGCACATTTCAAACCATTGAGCGTAGCATAGAGTAACAATTTGGATATTGAGATTCAAATTTCAGCCCCACTTATTCCCAGGATGGTAAAGAAATATCACAGTAAACGATCGGTTCGTCCGTGACAAAATGGACCAATTAACTGAATCATCAAACGATTTCAGCAGTCTAACATCCTCTCTCACCTACAGTGGTTAGGCCGATTGATGTAAGAAGTCCCCAAGTAAGTAAAGTTGATAAGTGGCAGACAGTAAGCTAAACAAGTATACAATGGGATAAGACAGAACTTCCAGAACATCAATACAGATAATAGTTCCTACAATATTTATTTAAATAGTGATATAAAGACGGAAATAATCCGCCCCACAGCAAAGTGGAGGCGCAACTTACAAAAGAGCCGACATTTCTGTAAAAAAAAAACATAACGTAGTCTCGGGTTCTTGAAAAAGCAAACAAAAGATTAAATCTTAAAAAACAGGAACAAGTTAGGACGATTTGGAAGGCAAGTCAACATCAGCTGACGAAGGTTGCACTGAGACTTCTTTTGGTAGATATGTTTCTGAATTTGTATTTTGTTTTACTTGGGAAGATCTAGGCAGATAAAGGGAGGTATGGAAACATGAAGAACAGTGAAAAGAAACAAAGTGGAAAAATATGAGCAAAGTAAGCATACTCGAGTTTTTCAACGCCATCATTGGCAACTACTCGGACGGTGAACGGGGGCTCTGAGTACTCTAAGTCGAAAACCATTTGGGAGCGACAAAGATGCAACTTGACAAGCAGATTGTAGATAGCATTCGAAGCAATTGATACCGGTGGCTCTAGATGATTGGGAAAGAATCTGTGATAGGCATGAAATAAGTTAACACGCATCTAAAAACCTACCCCGAAAACTTAAAGGCATCTGTTGTGTCACCAATGTCACCATTGCTGTGTCTTTGGAAGAACCGAAGATACACCCAAGTGACAAATGCTCCAAAGGATAATAAGAGGAAGTGAATATAATCGATAATGCGGAGGATAGCGAAGAGAAGGAAACAGAAGAATATGGTAAACGCGATGTGCTTGGTGCGAAACTTTCCAAGTGGAAGGTTTGCAAGAACATTATTAGGAGTTAGTTGGCGAGCAACAACTAATGCAGCACCGAGGAGGGGACTCAAACCGCAAATAGGTGTTTTCCATAGGAGGTTAGTATCAAATGTGCATGCATAGCCGATGAAGAGCGTGCAAACAGCTAGACCTGTTGAGACGAGTTGCGATATAGCACAACAACGAACTACCTCGGCCATTTTCCATGAGGGGAACATTACTACATCGACAAGATAGACGGTAGTCATATCAAGGAAGACATGAAGAATACGAGTGTTGTAAAAGCTGAATGTTAGTAGTGTCCATATCCAACAATGTGGGGGAAGAACTCGAGCAACGGTTACAGCCAAATAAGGCGTACTATAACCAGTGAAAGATACGCCGTAGAATATGATCTGAAGGATCATGGTTAGAATGGCCCAGACATCGAGATGAAACCGCCGAAACGAGGTCATCAGATAAAATTTGAAGTTATCACAAAAAAAGGAGGTGAAGTACAGATAAGGGAAGCAATACTTCTGGTGCAAAACTGCAAGAACTACTGCAGTTAACAGAGTAAATTGGAAAAGATAAATAGCAGAATTAAGACAGACGCATTCAAATGACCCGGATTACTTACTGACGAATATCAATAAGACTAGATTTAGGGGATCAATGCCAAAGGAGAATGAACCCCCTGTAGTGTATAAAAAAATTTTACGATATAAAATTTCGGGACGCTCCTAAGTATTATTTCTTGCTTGTGGATACTTATTTTTCATCACTGCTGAAACCAATGAAAAATTTCGTTGGTAATTCCAGTACACCACGTATCATTTTTTGCTTTTTAATTAAATGCAAAAAAAGTTTTACAAACTTTTCAAAGAAAAAAAATGCACCAAATTTTATTTGCTGGGTTATTAGCAAAAGCTATTTGATTTTACGAAACATTCTTAGGGTATTTTATGTTAAAAAAGGGCTTATTTTACACAGGAGAAATAACCGGATACCACGGTTTAGCTTGTATACCACCTAAGGGTCATTTATTGAATCACCTAGTGACGCCTAATAGCCTTAAACACGAAAAACATTTCAGTTTTGAACTCTTGCCCATATAATTTTATACAGTGCTTCTTTTAAACTAGAAAGACAAATGATGCTAATGTAGCGTCCCGAGACTCCCTGAAGACGAAAGAAGACAAAATACTCGGGCAGAATATATATATTCAGCACGGAGGTGTCTGGGCTATTGGCATGGCCCAAAAGGCCAGCCCACCCAGCGAGGTACAAGGGGGCTAATTCGAAGTACAAAAGTGGCGCCTCACTAAAACCGAGGGATAAACCACTATCGTATTACACTAAATCCACCTAAACCTGGATAACATTTAATGGAAATTAAAAATCGCCCTTCCTGACTAAAAATAGACTAATTTGCTAACCTTTTCAGCTGGTGAAATGTTAAGGACTTTCCTTAAGTTGCAGTTACTCAAACAAACAACAAGGTGGTTAAAACTTCTAAAATGTCGCTTCGAGTCATTACCCGAACTTGGTAAGAACTTACTTTGCTCAACACGGTAAGGCCTACTTGTGACGTAAAGTGTCTGATTTGAATTGTTTAAATAAAAAGCACTTTTCTTTGCCTTGACTGACAGTGGACTAATGTCCTCCCTTTACTTCCTCCTGCGTCAACTTAGCATGTCTTTTAGTGGGCTGTTTGCTAATTAATATATGGTTATTTGCTTCTCTGTCTCAGTGATCCTCTGTCTCCAAATTCCTTTTTTGAAATTTCCACAGGCGCATGAAAACAGCCTGAGCAAGACGCGCTGATTTGGGATTCCGACGGAGACGCCTCTGTGGCCAGGGGGCACGTAGAGGCGGCGCATTTATCAGTAAATTCCCTTGACCCAAATAATCAAGAGCTAAAGCGCTAAAAGGTTTTGTAGGCGCGTACACTGTAGCACTTTCTTTTAAGCCGCTCTCTGAAAAAGCGTAGCCGAGAAGCTACGGCAAAAGTGGCAGCAGGGCTGAGGGCAAGAAAGAGGCACGAAGGATTTAACACCATCTGGAGCAAAATGCATGAGCGGTTAATTCAATCCACCACTCTTGTGCAAAAGTGATGGGCTGCAACTCTTTTGCAAAAATGAACAAGCAACTTGGAAAAACTTAATTCCATCCTTCGACGGTTAAACCTCTTTGGAAATTTATGGCCAAAAGAGATCAAGCATTAACAGTACTTTTTACTAGTATTTCGTTGCTTTTGTTCTTCTAGAAACGGGTCTTTCAAAGGCTAAAAATATTCGAAATTTATATGTTTGATGATACTATATTGAACAAATAGCGACTAGCAGAACCCAGGAACTTGAGTTTTCAGCCATTGATGACCTAGCCCGGTTGCGAATTGCTGACCAATGGAAATCGACCAGGCACGAAGTTTTTTGGTGCATTATTAAAATACTCTTATACAGTAAATTCTAAATAGTTATTCATTTTATCTCAATCGGCGGCATTTTATGAAAAGTCTTAAGTTCCAGTCATCCCAAATTCCTATTCTTTTAGGAGACCAATTGTAATAAAACTGGTTAACAACACATAATTTTTAATCTTACTGCTTTTTAATTAATTGGCAATCAAGAAGGTTGTTTCCTTTTTTGGGACCCTCTTTGTTGTCCCCTACTCGGCCTTTGCAGAAGCAGTTTCACCTGGTTCAAGTACGACAGAAGATCCCCTTTGCTATGCTTTGTTTCCTTGTTGTGAAGAGGAAAGTTACAGACGCAAATCCCCCGCGCAAGATGGACCTAGCCCTTTTGACGGATCACTTATGGAAGGACTTGAGCACAAGTGTGCCCTGTCAGGCACTGGTGGCAGGCGAAAATAATCTGGGTCATCCAAACACACCGTGTCTGCTGACTTTTCCTCAACGCTAACTTCTGCATTCCGTGGAAAAAGGAGCTGAAGTGGGTTTTGCTGAGACGTAAGACGATTCCTCTGTTTTTTTCCTTGTTTTCTGTCGCTCCCTAGGGCTTTGGTTCACGCTTCCATATAAAAATGTGAAATAAATCATTCGCGAGGAAGTATTTTAAACAAACGTCTAGAAGGTTTTAAGTTTTAAATTTGGTTTTAACTCGGTAAATAAATAAATTTAGCAAAAGGTTTTAGGAGCTTACACGATGCTTGTTCATCATTCATTTTAGCGTCGGAATAATGGAATAGCGCTATGGAATTGCAAACAGACCAAAAAGGCAAAAAAAAAAACAAAATAAGTTGATGATAAAACAGATCCATCAAGTTGAAGTGGTGGCGGATTGTGAGGGAGAAAAAAGATTAGGAAGGAATAACAAGAATTCCCGGGTTTATGAATTGGTGCTATTCAGGTCTCAAGTGCTACTTCCATAAGGCTAACTGGAGGCTAGCACGCCCAAAATCATCAACGTCCCCTACGCAATCAAAAGAAGTATTGTAAAGTGTTGGAAAATTTCTTGCACCTTTTGATATGACTTAAGTATTGAAACTTGTTGGTGGATCATCCAGTTCAATCCATTGTTAGTTTACACGCATCCTTAAGCATGAGGAGCGGTCAGTCCATTGGTACGGTGGCAGTCCTCCTGGCACAGTGTCCATTGTGTTTAGCAGACGAGACTTGAACATGACTGCATTATGGAGGGGGATGAAATAGGCTCTAAAGCAGTGAGGACTTCTAGAAATATGTGATATGTAGCCGTCGCAGAAGGTGGTTACTGCCAAAGGTTCCAACTCGAAACTTATACCACCATTTGATACACCGTAGACGGAATTGTCCACCTGCTGAAGTCCCATCCCCTCCACCTATTCCATGCAAACAGCGTCTGTTAAAGCTTTTAGGACTACTGAGTCGTTTAAATGGAGACAGGATCCGCTATTACAAGAAACGCCACCATATCCAGCCCTTTTGAAAATGTGAGTCCTCTCGACTTGGTGAGGTGGGTGGATAAGTGAATGGATAGGTACAGGGTGGACAGATAAAGGATGGCTAGACACAAGAATGATGGATACAGGATGGATTGATAGATAGATAAAAATGTGGAATGGACGACGAGTGAGATCAACCCCAGGAGGTAAAACGGGCGATATGCACACCTCCATTTTCTTGAGCTTTTAGCGGGCAATCCAAAGTCGGGCTTAAACCATAACAAAATAAAAAAACAAATTACTAGTAAAATGGACTCGTAAGTAGAAATGATTTCTTTTTTTCCAATTTTTCCTCCCCATTTTTTAATCTCAAAATTCAACTTTTAAAGGCAAATTATTGTCCAGGATGGGACTCAAATGCCCGCTCACCACAACTGCCACCATTCTTCTTCATTTAAACAACCTTTAAAGAGACAATAAAATGACATTTCTTTAATTGACATAGTACTGCTCGAGATTAATTTTAATGTTGTGGGCAATTTTAACATGTCTGGATTGGCTAAAATCTGGTGTTTCTGCTTACTGGAAGTTAATACAACTTGTTTGTTTTTTCTGTGGAATTCAGTTTGGCTGAACCATAGCTTAAAAGGAGATGGCAGGTAGATTGTTAAGTGTTGGAGTTGTCTGGACCTTCCAGTGTTAGTTGAAGGAGGCTGAACCCTATTCAATGGGCCACCCAGACTCCAAGGTGGCCCGATAAATCTCATGGCGAGAAAGTTGCGAACACCACCCCTTCATCACCTTCCATCACATTGTGATTGATGAAGGCAGCTAAGGCCATCCGGTGATTGACACTGAATTAAAGAAATCCCTTCAACTCCCATGTTAGTATTCAACAGCGTTGGTTCAGTTGGGTCCAGATCTACTTCCACCTGATGCGGCATTCCGGCTTCCTACTTTCTTATTCAACGGCAGTTTCTGCGTCACTGAAGACCAGTATTTCCGCATTTTTCACTCTTTTCATCCAGAACATTAGATGGACTAGGCTTCAATGAGGCTTCTGCTAGTTGATCACTTGGACGCCTTCTCCATTATTCACCGGACTCCCTCATCGATGTCGCCATTATAGCATCTCGAGTCTTCCCTGGGACGGCAATAACTCATCACTCATTTCGCAATAGCTGGAAACCCTTCGGAAAACCTCCTAAATTCAAGTTTATATTAGACGATACGGCTTAACGAACGTAAAGAACTGTAGTAGACTTAAGCTACATCTCAGCGAGATATTGCCAACTTGGGTTTGCAGAGCCAGATTAAATGGCAAAGGAGAAGGAGTAGGAAAAGCGGGGAGGGAGAGAGGCAAAGTGGAGGTTTGAGGGTTGCTAAAGTATGGACAAAAGCGATAAATCTCCATTCCTTCGAAAAACCACTCTTCAAGGCGGCAAATACTTCCGGCGGGCTATGGATGAATTGGAAACTTTACTTCATGCGGTGGATTTATACTGGTCCTCTGGGAAATGCAAAGTACCTCTGATTGGAAAACTTATTCATTTTTGGCATCCACAAAGTCTACCTAGGGAGTAATAAATGTCCTTCTTCGTGTTGGAAGACAGCAGGCAATGGTGAAGGCATAAAACTCCTTAAAATATCCACTCTTGTGGACCAGAATTAGAGGGCATTTAAGACCCCAACAGCAGTACTTCCATACCGTGGTGTAACCTTCGGGGGTCTTGCTAGTTGCCTTCCATCTCCTTGGTGTATCACGATTTCAGGGAAGACTTGTGGCACTGCAGTGATGGAACTGGCAAACGAATCATCCATCCTGACCCTTGTAGATGATTGCAAGACCTTTGAATCATAGAAAAAGGCCACTGAGAGGGCACTTAACTTTCTGCACATCGAAATCCAGGGTGACTTTTTTGTATTTCAGTAGTAGGTGTTCTTCCCTACGGATTCTTAAATTTCTTTATGCACTTAAACAAGCAAAATTTATCCAAAGTGACCTTGACTCCCATTTGCTGGGAGAACGAGGCTTTTCCCCTTTTGAAGCGCGCAAAGTCGAATCACCCTCCCCTTGTCTGGTCTAGGGCGATCTCGTGGTTGATTTCACACACACGCACATCCTTTTCCATAAAAAAATAATAGAATTAGGGTAATTAGAAATGCTTTTTTTGCAGCTTACTCATCCAATCCCCTTTTGACGGTTTGCAGTTGATTCAGCTGTAAAAATTGCGATGATACCGTGTAGGGGTATGACGTCCATTATCTGGAGGATGCGCATTCTTTGATGACAAGAGATGCAAATTTTTCTCCGATACCATCAGCATTCTTCATTTCTTTTATAAGGTCAAAAATGCAAGAATTCCAATAACATTCATCTGTTCATAATCATCATCATCATCGCCATCATCTCATTCTTCAGGAAGAGCAATTAGAAGACGATATTTCGTCTTCAAGGAAACAAAAGTAGACATTAGCTGTGAATTTGGTGGGCCGGTTGTCTTATATTCGTTCCATAGGGATCACCGGTTTCTACTCACGTTATGACGATTTGTGCACGATCCGCGCTCTTTTCACTCAAACAGTGCATTCAAACAAGCATGTATTGGAAAGTTGAGCCTTTTTTTCAAACCTGAAGTGATAAAATTAGTTTTTATTAATGTATGAAGGACTGCGAGAACATTCCGGTTGATACATTAGCTGATCCTCCCATTCATTCCCCCTCTCCCCTTGACAAATTAAACAGGAACTCCGATTCGCCGACTTTAGGGAGATGCTCTACACACCCAAAAAGCATGAAGAAGCTGGCAATTATCATTTGAGTCGCTTTTGTTTATTTTAGGAAGAAGGACTCATCCATTTGTTCAGAGAATCATCCAGTCTTTCGGTGGATCGTTTGGGCTTTTTCGACCGACAGGTCTCGGCAGCGAGACGCCTTTGACAGCCTATTGAAAATGCCCTTTCAAGAAGACGCTTTTCACTATTCTGAAAGTTTCAGAAAGTATTCCTCTCAAAAAAACAATGTAGTGGTGGATGATAGAATGAAACCTCCGATGCGTAATGTGCACCCCCCGCCAAGTCGCCTTTATTTAAACAAACTCGGTGGTAAGGGCATGGAGCAAGTTCGGCTTGATTTCATGAAACAGAAGTTGTTGACAAACATTGTTTGGAGATTCGAAAGCAGATGACCGAAGTGGTTCGCCCTGTTTCCTCCACGACCCGTCACAATGATTTGCAAATTTCGGGGAGTCTTTAAGAATGTCTGCGGTGTTCTGCTGGTGAGGTGCCACCCATTGCAGTGTCAAAGAAAATTTCCTCCAATTTCTGAGTTCCGTGAAAAAAAGTGGCGATTGAACTTGATTGACGCGACTTGAACCTGTCTGAATCACGAAACCTTACAGTGGCGATTTCATAAATGTGGAGGCCTCCCAAAATGTGGTCAACCACGGCGATAGGCTTCAAAGGCGCACACCGCATCATTCTCACAGAACTATCTCCTGGTCAACTGTTTGCTTACTACTGTCTCCTCTACTCCGTCTACTTTCTGCCCCACCGTTGTGAGGTATACGAGGGAGATTTCTTCTGTTGAAGCTGTTATAGGTATTAGTCCGGTGAAGTGGAGGCAGATTCTGCTCTTAAGAGACAGCACAATACCTTCTATCGACACACGGACTGCCTTCATTGTAGAGAATCGGCCGATTAAGTGCGGTACGAAGTCAGTCCATTCCCCGCCTACATTGCAGTTCTCCTGGGACAGCGGAATTGTGGAGAGGCATCAGTGGTGTTGAGATTACATGTCTTCTCACATTCAGGCGATCTTTCAAGCACTGATCACGTAGGAGCGTCGAAGACGATAGTTTAACTGTGTATTTACCAACGCGGTCACTTCAGCCTCTGTGGATTGTACTCCTACTCTGCGGCGGGACTTGTGGATCAGACTGATGACTTCTCGCCTCTCCTGGGCGGATAGGAGCGCTAGGTAAGTGTAAAAATCCCGTTTTGAGTTTATCAAGACAAGCAAAAATTGTATCTGTCACTTTTTTATCCCTAACACCCTTGAAATATCTAAAAATATATTCTTAAGGCTTACTTCCCCTTGACTTCCTCGATTCAGGAGCACCATCAGTAGGTTTCTCACAGCCAAAATAGGTACATTTCTGGACGCTCCTACCTGTCAAATTTGCGAGTTATTGCCTACGACCGAAAAAACTAGCTAGTCCCCTTGATAATTGGCACAAATTAGAGAGAGATGAGGTAATATCTACCGTGTAACCTAAAGCTAGCCAATGTGAAGTACAGGATTGTCTTTAAGGCTGGAAACTTTCTTCCACTTCACTCAACGCCTACTTCGGGGTGTTCCTGGTAGAGAGATTAACTAGATATTGGCCAGCACTGCTGACTGACCATCATCTAGTGGACTGTTCTGAAGGTAGTTCACCACACACGTACACTCAAACACAGCGTGTATGACTTTGGAGGGCTCGACTGGGGACAACCAAGCAATCAACCAGCGACCGCTTAACCATTCCACCATGAAAGCAGCTTCTCGTCACAGTTCTGTCAGTAAGGGTTCTGTGGCATTGGAATTGAGTCAATATCACATCAGGTAGACATTTCAGATTACCGTCCTGACAGCCTGCCAAAATCAAATCACCAGAGCGAGATTTGTGGAGAATAAAGCGGACTTTTTTGACCTCCTGATCATTAACACAGAATTTCCTTTCCAAGGGCCTGAAATGGGTATTCAACCGAACTTTCTGTGTATCATCACCAAGTTTTGGAGTGAAGAGTCATAACTGACCCTTTTAGTTTATTATACATACATCATATGTCCTTAAATCTCAATCTAGGTCTAATAGGTGGAATTGTGAAAGTTCCCAGCTCAAGGTTATTATTAAACTGCTGACTTTGCCTTGGTAGAGAGGGTGAGTTCAAGAGGATGTGCGTAGCCGTTGTGTAGGTGTGAATCTTTGGAAGAGCCTCTGGGACCGCCAACACGTCTAGAGGCCCCACTACATTTTCCTTGGACTCAGGAGGCAGGATGGAGGAGAAGTGATATTCTGGTTCCATAACAACACTGGTCTGGGAAAGATTGATAACATCGCTAAACTTTTCGTGACCTTGATGGGTGTTCTGATGGTAAAGAGACTCAGAGTTGGCGTTTGAATCTTGAAGCCGATGGCATTGTTTAGCATAGGTGCTTTTAAGCCTAAGAAGTGCCACCACCATAAGCAGACAAGCGACTGATAAACCGACGAAGAGAACAGAGAGGATCCATACTACCAGAAGGAGAGAGGTTTTCTCTGTAGATGATGATGAGGGGGAGGAGAGGGAGGAAGAGGGAGTGACAACACTTCCATTAGTGAATATATTGCCTTTGGAGTGGGGAAAGGTGACACTGGATCTTGGTCTTCCATAAGGCAGTTGACATACAAATTTCACCGTCCGCCACCGAAACACCTCTGAAATTCGAAATGGAAAAATACTTTACTATCAGCTCCTGAGATTTTTGCGTCCCTAAAATTGAATAGGAACTTTTGCCTTCAGTCGAGGTTTCCTCTATGAAAAAAAAGTTTTCTTGCTAATCAGATATTTCGCTAATTTTTTTATTTTAAAGTCCACGGTTTAGTCAGCTAAAATTGCGGAACATTAGTAGTGGCCACCTAATTCCATTTTCCATTTTTCTCACTGGAGTTTTAGTACCAGCGCAGTGATTCCACCCAGACATTGGTGGCTGGTTATCGAACATTAAATCAAGGGATTCGTGCATTCAACATCATGCCCCACCATACAAAACTCAGAAGAGGATAATCAAACACTCCCTTGGTTGTTCTATATTCTAATTCGCCTGACTTTTAAATCTCTTGTACCGTAACTTTTGCGACATCGTTCAGTGAACGCAAGCACGTCCACAGCATTAAGATCCAACACATTTTTATCTTTCTTTCCTAGGGAGAGATAGGTCAAATGTCATCAAACGAAGGCTCAAAGGGAGGTAAGATCGACTTCCGGTAACCACTTGCAACAGACGCGGAATTGGTTCTGTCAACTGCCCAACCAGCTTAACCAGTGAGAACGGGAGCAGAGCATGGGGGCACGGGTGATCCCATTCCTTCATATTTATACTGTTTTCAATCGGCCTTGACCTCAGTGTTATCATTAGCATAGCTAAAGCCTATTTCTAGATGATAGTGGCCAATCAGAGGAGCTGAACGGTATCGCATGTTTCGAAGGCCTGCAATGTGATTTAGGTTTCCGCACTCATACATAGATCTTATTCCGTCCTCAAGGGTAAGTTCATCAACAAAAGCAGCACTATTCATCAGTAGCGGATGGGGTTATCACTTTAGAAGAATTGTACTTACTAATTGTTTGCCAAAATAATTTACTAAATGCATAATTCTAACCAACTTACGGGTAGCAAATGCATCCGCGTCCCTTTCTATAGACAAGTACTTGGCAATAGCAACTCCTTCTTTGTCATAAAAGCTAGGACGCAAAAAAAAATTACAAATCAAAAAATACCGTCAAAGTACCTACACATTCGCCAATCAATTGATTCTGCAATTACCGATCGTTGCGCGGGGAATCGATCAATCGCTTAGTTGTTAAGACGCCAGGAAAAATTCGGTTAAACAAACCATTTGGTAATAGTGATATTACGACTAAATAAATACGTAGAAATAATGAACGGTTATGCGACTGAAAAGGAAATAATAAATTAAGGGGCTGACTAATTGAGCAACTTAGTAAAAACTAGAAAGACTCAGGTAATGATTTAGTTAACATTTACGACTTTTAATTCTACATCACTATAGCAACAACTTCTACGAGGTTTTTTCTGGACAAAGGACTCAAAGTCAGGTTGGTGTGTAGTTTGCATACAAAATTGACAGCATTTAGCCCTCTAAGCTAAGAAAAAATCCCCTTCCCAAGAAAGGACCATTAAACTTTTTCTATTTTTGGGAACAAACTTAAACTGAATATTTGAAGGTGGTGGTACCTGGCAGCGAAGCACGCCTTCATGTCGACGACTGCCAAACGATGACGATCAGAAATGACCACTTCACCGGAAGACGCAAATTCCATTTGCACGTGAGAAGAGGTAAAAGAAGGCGAGAAGTGAATGAAAAAGAGTGCTTCAACGCCACCGGATATGAGAAGGTTTTTCAGATTTGATGCCACGGACTCAACATTGTCTTCCAATTCATGCTCGTAGAAAAGACCACGTTTTGTTACCAGAAACACTATCAGTTGACAAGTTTCTAGTGAGGTAAAAGGTGAGAAGAAGCAGTAAAAAATTGTGTTAAAAAAAGGCCGATACAACTTAATTGATTGCAGTCCCTTGAAAAAGGATAAAATAACCCAATTAGTACAGAATTTCGGAGTTTTTGAACACGACTTTGAATTTAAAAACAATTTATGTTTTTATGCTACAAAATTGCCTCGTTGAATTCCTTAACTTATCTTTTTTGGGGCATGAAGAATCGACCATAAATACGAGATTAGGCGGAGCAAAGGTGATTAGCATGATCACTCCACTATAAATTACCAAGGGAATTTCTTCCTTAACCACGGTTAACAGATTCTGAGGAAAAAGGGGATAAACTACGAAGGCTGGACGACTTCTCGCTTCTCACACAGTGTCGGTTTACGTTGATGGATGTGGCTCGCGACTGTCTGCTTTATGCGCAGACTCGCTGCAGCCTGAGAAAATGTTGGTGTTTTAAGGCGAGATCCTGGGGGTTCCCAATTATGTAGATAATTAACCGAGCATTCCAGAACGGTCGCGTTCAGAAAGACTTCTAATGCGCTAATAAATTCCATAGATTTAAAGTCAAGACCGATCCTTCACATTCTGCAGTGGCTTCGGCAGTCAGCCAGCACTTGGGATGGACTGCTCGCTCATTAATACTCGTCAGGAAATGGAGAATTCCATGTTGAGACCTGGACAATTGAACTCGCCACATTTGTTGTCTAACTTTCCTCAAGAGTGCGGTTTGCGGAGTAGGCGAGCATACTGTTCAGAAATGTGCTAGCATTTAGAAAGACCAGGTAGTGTTTTTTTATTCGGAAGAAAAACGCATCGTCATTGATTAAAACAACTCGAAATTGACTTCTCGGGAGAATTCAGTAATGTTTAAAGCAACTGATGAAACCTGTCAATTACCCTACATGAGGGAGAAGTTTAAAAGGTAAACAAATAGTCGCGGCATGTACAAAAACTACCTTACTTATTCTTTGTATCTTGATGACTGACATGGACTGGGAAATACCAGAAAAACAAAATTATCACCGGTTGTTTTACTGTCCCATTCTCTCGAGGCACACTGCTCCAACATCTAAAATTTTTCTTCTAAATTCCAAGAGCAAAACAGTTCCTAAAGGTGCCGTTCAGAAGTGGAAAACTTTCATCCACTTATGATGTGCAAAGTATTGCTCCCTAAAGATACTTTAAAGAAGGAAACCTTAGCAGGGTGAAGTAGATGAGATACTACTCATTTAAAATATAAGCGGCCGTAACTCTAGAGGTTAAAAAGCTTGGTCTAGTCATCTCCAGCTCTCTCTCCCTCTCTCTATCACACACACACACACACACACACACATTTTCCACGGTTACACTTCGCATCTGAGTGTCGAGGGTGAAAATCAAGATAAGACTATGATCATCACTTGGAGAGCCTTGAACAGGAGAAAGAGGATGAAGTAGGGCGAGACAGTGTCCCCTCCTCCACTCCCAGCCCAAGGTGTGGGTGTAAAATCCTGATTAATTCTAAGGCCACACTTCATGGGAATCTTCCAGATCTGCAACAGGTAAACAATTCTATCCATAGTCGACCTAAAAATCGACTAGTCTTGAATGAACATTGTACTCCGTGTAAGAGGCCTGCTGCGAGTAGGAAGTGGATGAATTTGTTGGCTTAACGCTGGACTACATATGGCATTTCTCCCTGACACTTAGCCAGAAAAAACAGGAAAACCAACAAATTAACCCTTTTATGAAATTTGTCCTTATCTCTTGTTTATGTATGTGTCAACAAGCTGATTTATCACTCTGGGTAAAAACTACCAAAAGTTCTCGAGAAATTAATCTTCCTTATGAGGACTAGAGATCTTTGACAGACGTGCCCCACTTTTTGCTGACTTCACATGAGAAGTATTTCAGGTGAGGAGCTTTTGCCACCTCGTAATTAAGGCAAATTTCTTTCTCAGCTCAAATCAGACAGGCTCGAATCACATCCATCAGGTCCGACCGTCATTTAAGTTTACGAGGATGCAGTAGACGTGCTGATCGACTGACTGATCTCTATGCTTAACAACGCCCTCAGGGATAACTAGGTGGTCAAACATTTGATTTGGATCCTTCTTTCAACACAAACTCGTTGGTAATGGATGGGTTCGACTGACCTGTTAGAAGATAGAGCACACAAATTTCACGACCCTGCATGAGTTTGCGTCTAGGCGAGACGGGCGACCTCTTCACGGTGTCTACGAGCATGGCAACGAAGCGATCTTTGGTCTGGAGAAGGGCAATCGCTTCACCGCCATCAGCTGGCATCCAGGGTTGCTGGAGGTATACCCCCTTAATGAGGGCATGGTTGTCCGATTGTTTGCATTGCTGTGTTAAGGAATAAAAGGGGTAGTCAGTAATTCTGGAGGTTTAAGCTAGCCTCGAGACCCTGAGGGATTTCAACAAGTTGGATGAACTGCTATGCCATTTCAATCTCCAGCAGCTGTACTTCAATTCTGTGAAATGGACAACTACCTTTCAAAACATTGAGAAAGGCAACTTGTGTGGCGCGTGATGTGGCGGGCACTTCAATTTTCACCTGTTTTAGCTTCACTCTGCGGCATGGATTTCGGGCCACAAAGATAGCCCCTTGGCTCTTCCGGAAGGATCAAACGCTACAATACTACTAACACGGTATTTCATCGACTCAAAATCAGTTCGAATAAAAGCAGAATACGGAATTTAAAGCTTGTTTGACTTCACCGCTTAATATGGCTCTTTGCCCGATCTCGTGGGTTTTTCTCCAAGGAAAACGGTGTCAAGTTTCTAAAGAAAGTGACTAAGGAGGAGGAAGGAATGGGACTGACGTAACGACAGTGAAGAGCTATGCGAATATGAGACAATTACAATAAATTTGGACAAAAGGTCTGAGGAAAATAACTGTATACCTGCTTCAATGGTCGGTACTTTTTAAACTGATAGGATGCGGCGCTTCAAGAAACTCAAAAATAGCTTCTTGTTGGATTTGACCGTAAATGTTTGAGTCCAACTAACTCACAGTGTCAGGTAACCCAAGAAGTTTGTGGAGTTTTTTTTTTAGTACACGTCCACCGATGTGGTATCACTGAATGTCAGTCAAAGCTGATGGTGGTTCAAGCCTGTATGACATAGTAAAGGAGTTAAATTCGGTTCTAGAAGCTCCAGAGGCTTCTCCGCGGTGAGAGAACTAACCGACTGTCTTACCAGCTCTCCATTTACTCTCCGCTATTATCCCAAACAATTTATTTAAAACCTTCTTCATACCTCTGGCAGACTTAACCCCTCATCCGCAGAGGACTGATTCTTGCTTTGAGCCTGAGATCTAGCTACTCGATGTGAAGGTATGCAAACGATACCCTTGAACCGACGGATAGAACGGCTTGTCCTTGCAAGACATAGCAAGTCCTTATACCGTAATACAGCCAAAATTTTCCTTGAAATAATTGCTACACCACACCATCTTCGATATCTCCCTAACGATGTTGATTACCTTCTCCTTACATTAGATAGCAGGGCAGATGGAGCATACAGAATTGAAAAATAAAATTTGGCAAATAAAACCTTGGCTTCTTGAGAACGGTGCTGCTGAAAGGCTCGCTCTTGTCAACTAGGTCATGAGTGTCACCCATGAAGTTGCGAGATGATTTGACGTTTGGCTCACGTGAATTTTGCCACATGAGCTTTCCCGGATTAACCGATGGTATCCCATCCCGTTGCCATGACGTCCTGTCCACTTCTTTAGTTGTATTGCTTCTTCATTACCAACATCGTTTTTAGAATGTGATGAGTATCATTGACTGGATATCACACCTCATCAAGAGAGGACTTCCAACCCGCAGCAACATTTCAAAATCCTACCGATCCCTAATTCCACGGAATGAATAACTGAGGAATCTACAAGCAAAAATGATGGAGAGGGGGAGGGTGGACCTCCTTACACCTCCTCTTTTTTTGCATTGCCTCTGAATGTACCATCAGTGCTCCCGTCACTCAAGCCTCACAAGCTGAATAATGATGGTGGAAGGAGAAGACTGATAACACGGATGAAGAAGAAAACCACCTAACCACGCGGGTTCTTCTGCTTCATGATATCAGACAACAAATTATTGTTATGGTCTAGCAATTGTGCCTGCTGTCATCCAGATCCAATGAATACTGGCAATAAAACTTCGTTCCTGTCGTCGGCATTAATTTGGGAAATGCAATCCAGGAGTAGATTAAATAAAGCAACGCAAAACAAGGGCTTCCTAAGAAATACCAAAATCCTATACTGATGTCAGTCAACTTAACCCACAAAGATTGTCCAAATTAGAGAACAGAAATGTATGGAGGTTGATGACGCATATACTACTTATATACGACGGCAATTCAACTGCGCTGGCAAATGGGTCTTCGTGGTTTGTTCTCCAGCCTGGTACAGTAGTTTTATAGCCCTTTTCAAAGTCTTTGCTCCTAGGTGCGTTAGTAATCCAGCCTATTTCACTCTGGCATGACTAGTGACGACTTCCGGAAAGAAGCCGAACGCTGCAATGGTGGCAACGACAGATGAATCGGATCCCGAAATTTGTTATCTGGCTATCAAATTTAAATTTTTAATCCTCGAGGTGAAAATGACCTCAAAGGGGTCTACAAACTGACCAACTTCATATTTTACATCATTTCGTTGTTTTAAGGCAAGTTTTGCCCTGACATAACTACCCATAGGGATACCCACCCAACACGGTCTACCTTGCAGTGGGCGCTACATTTAGGGGTGCCGACTAGATCTAGGGGATAAACGGGAGCGGATGCAGACGCACAAATATCGCTTTGAATCCTGTCTCGCAGTTGGCTGCATTTCACACAGGGGCTCCTCAATTCATAGTATAAGGTGAACACTCGGAATCAACGTCAGGAGGTGTCGTTTGCTGACTACTGCGGGAGCTCTTCTGTTCCCACGGTTTTGTACATTTGTCCAGTGAGTAGCCCATAAGCTGGGTCCATAACCTCCCAGTCCTTTCAACACGATAGTAGAAGAGCTTTCTCCACTCTTTCAATGCCTTGTTAAGATTTGGGGTAAGGCTTGGAGCACCATGGAAAAACTGCTACTTGTGTAACTATCAAGCATATTTTACACCTCCTTAAGATGGGGATTTTTCGAGTCACTTAAGAAAAGGAATTGCACGCAAAAGATATTTGAGATTTATTGCCAAAGAGATAAAAAAAACAGGTGAGTAAAGCAATCAAAATGAAGCAGCAGAATCATGTCTACTTATAGATGGATGCTGGGATTTAAGTAGTACTTTTGAAACCCTAACCTAGATGTTTATTTTATAGTCGATCTCACAAATTTACAGTATATGTCCACCTGATATTTCTTTTTGGTGATAGGCCTGTAGATTGCTCCAACCTCGTGATTGAGCAGATGGCACTGATCTCCAGGGTGGTGACAAGCACAACCTCCCCCCTTAACCCCTAACTCTTTGACAATTTGTAAAACCCGTGAACTACACAAATATAAAATGTTCTCCAATCAACCTTCTAGATCCAAAGGTTTGAGGTCGAAGGGTGGGGGAGAGGAACAGAGGCAATATGACAGAATGTCAAGCTCTGAGTTGCGCTCGTGTCATCCCAATCTGGAGCTCTTTATCCCTTCATCAATCCGACTGAATAATTTTCTACTTTTTCCCCACATACCAAAAAAGGTCCAAATAACTCTAAGTTATTATATGGTTAAAGAAATTCCCCCTGTTTTATCCGCCAAAGAGGTTTATTGGGAAAAAAATGGCGGTTCGAAAATAAAGAGCTTTTTCTCCTCAAATTGAAGATTAATTAATGCAAAAAAATCAAAAATGTCTAGGAGGGGTATTGAGAGATTCTTAAAAACAACAAATTATTTCCGTTTTATTTCTAAAAAAGAAGAATAATTTGCCCTGATACACCCCCACAAGTCGGTAGTTTTTGCCCCCCACCCTCCATCAACTAGTTAACTTGACAAGTGAATAATTTGGTCTACTATCTTGACAACTTAACTCTTCTCCGTCTCCAACTAAAAAAAAGAAGAGTATGTTATTCCTAATGGTCGTGAATGAGTAAAAAGGCGGAATGTTTTTTTTGGAAATTCATATCACATCCCCGGAATTCCACCGTGCCACCTCGTACCGACGGATTGACGCGCATCTGTGTTTTACTCTAGGCCCGCAGACAACCGCCTTCACTTGACATGGCCTTAACGGCGAGGTGTACTGAGAACTGCAAGTGTACATTTGTTGGGATACACCCTCATAGTTGAACAGACGGTACCATATTCCGAGACGGCGGTCAACCACTAATTCGCCCACCACCCTCGCCAATAAAATTTTTCATACATGCTAATTTTTTCGACCCAGGGAGCTGAAACCGCACGTGAAAGAGGACCTATTACACTGGTGACAGCATCAAACATTCGATCATCTTTGATTTCGAGAAAAACGAAAAGGATATAATGGAGGCTACATCCCTACGGGACTAAACAAGCAAACCGTATAAGGGTACGCAGTTTCAATTAGGCTAACCCTCCACACTGCAGAATCGACTATCCGTACAAAAATTTGCTATTTTATTCATCTTCCCCCACAAAATTCCCCCAGCCTTGTAATTATGTCTGTAAATCTACCTCATCGAAGGAAACGTCTGCAGCATCATCGTGGCATTAGCAGGTAATACAAAAGTTCACAATATTTAGATTGGAGGCACTGGAAGGAGAGGTTTAGATAGAATTGTGGCGATAAAGTTCATTGAGAACGCTTTAAAAAGGGCTGGAAAGGAAGAAAAAATGGGAGAAAGGGAGCGAGAGGGCACACGTGTGGTGGTGGCTTTGTTTCCGGAGGGTGTTTATCGGCTTGCTGATCTGTGGGAATGTCCCAGGCTCTTATGGCGACAAATTCCTCTTTTCTTTTTTAAAGACTCAAAAACAAAACATATTTTCCCCCTTCTTTTCAGTTTCTATGATCGTGAAATTTGGGCGTTATGTAAAGTTTGCAATTTGATATTTAAGTCTATTCCGTTGAAATTTCCACCTCTCGTTTAAACGGATTTCAGCGCTATGGAGAAAAAAATGCCTCAAAACTTTTAATTAAGTGGGTAAATATGTTGTTGGAAAATGTGATTTTTCGCTGCTATCTAATGCTTATCAATCTCCGCGGTTTCTGTCACCACTTTGGTGGTGGTTTTTTACCTCCACCGATCATCCCATTCAACCACCCACCCCCTCCCTCGGTGGGAAAGTGACATATATTTACACACAAAACTTTGAAAAGCTGGGAGAAGGAGGGAATTCATCATGAATCGGTGAGAAGGCTTGAAACAGCCTTAACTCTTGGGACAGGTCTTAGATTCTCGGCTATTCGGAGCCTGGGCTTGCATTTTCCAACTACTTAGAGGTACCCCCAAATTTAAACTACTTGCCTGGAATTGAAGGAGGTGACATTCAAGAATTGTGTACACGAGGCTACAGTGTATAGCCCCTCATCTCTCTTTTTTCTCGCCTGCTTTGAATCGTAACAGGCAAAACGGAAGTTCGACCGGGAAAGTCACCGGCAGCGGTGCTTGAAGACTAGTCAACAATGAAAAAATATACGAATGTAGAACTTATTTTCATTTACGGCATTTTCCTTACCAAATGAGGTAGATGTAAGTCAAGTGCTGCATTCTTGCCCATACCGAATACAGTACTGGGCGTACTTGATATCAATTAAGTCAAACCCGTTATTGCGAAAAAAACGTTCTGCGATTTGTTAAAAGAAGAGCTGAACAAGTGAGAGGCATCCGGATAGACTGTCCATTACACGCATATAGATTGCGGAAGGTATTTCCTAAGCCTCCACGAATGGGGCAAAAGACCTCAAAACCTAAAGCACCGCCTTTGAGTCGCTGTGAAGTCAAGGTCAAGACCGAGAGCAATCAAACTACCATAAATAGGCGAGAAGGGAACCAAATCAGTCAGCAGTTGATTCCTCAATCTCCGTGTTCCTCCTGTTAGCTCATCACGCCTCGAGAAATAGAAACCTTCGTCGCCAGACGCAATTTTACGCTCACGCGCAAATATTTAATAGGGCCAGCTAATGTCCGAACTGCGAATTAGGTTGAAACTGAAGATTCAGAAGGCCAATAGTTAAAATTTTACCTGATTCCTTATCCTCGGGGAAGGAGAGGGAAAACGGTCTTGCGTACTTTTCGATGTCGTGTTGGATTTACTCAGGCTCAACACCTCTCTGGTAGAAAAACTATGCACTTCCTCTGACATCTGGAAGGCAGAAGAAAATCTCTCGCTGCACACTGCATGCCTTTCCAATAATGGGTATAGAATAAGTAAGGCTTACTACTGGAAGGATGCAAATATTTCAGAGGAATACCTACTTTTCTTGCTTAATTAGACCAGCTATGCCCTCTCCTCTCCTGATGGAAAAGCAGATAGACAGACAACTCAAGGAGTTGCCTTTATCGCTCCACTTCACTCCACTGCTCTGTCCATGCCAGGTTTGACAGGAAGGAAAGAAAGACGGAAAGGAGGAAGGAGGAATTCAGGGAGGCCTTAATCATTTTTGTGTGAGATAGGGATACGAAGACATATATTTTGTCCCTATGCAAAAATACGCAGACTGAGATAACACGTATGTGTATTTCTACGGCCAAGATTTTGTGGCATGCCGTAGTGTGGTGCAGGTGCTACGCTGTCTCGTGAGAGCAAAACCCACCAGCAATTCACCGACCCAATAGTCCTGACAGCTTTACCAGAAGAAACTGACCTCGTACACCCCACAATTGTATCGCACATAGTGGATGGATCAGATGGGACTTGAGCAAGCGAAAAGTGACACGTTAATTGTAAACAATGCTTGCGTTTGTGCCTTACTTCCACCTTCTCTGTACGAGAAACTTGGCGTGAGACACCTGACCCTTTAAAGCCGCATTCAATTCGACTGGTAGAGCTGACAACTCCAGTCATAGAGAGGAGAAAACACAATCTAGCGCTCGTATAGATAGATTGCCACCAATCTAATGATATATGGCTACGAACAAAGCTTGCCGAATGACAGAATTACTTGACACATCCTGCCAAAATGTACATGCCTCGTCTTGACGGGATATTAGAGGAAAAGAGCAGAAGAATATTCGTTTGTGTAGGGCGCGCCTGACTGCAAGGGCTCGCCACTTCGTTTACCGACCACCAACCCTTCTGTGCATTTGCTAACCACATCCTAACCTTACAGCGTTCCTACAAGCAACTCAAGGTACCAATTAGGTACCAGCGGTGGACTTTACAGGAGAGAAACATCGACTTCAGTTAGGTAAGTCTACGTTGTCTTTAGAAAACACTCCAATCCTGAGAGCTTTAGCACGACTTGAATGATAAAGTCCACATTCCACGTGTTCTAATGAGGCAGTAGACTAAACGCGCATCCGAGGGGCAGCTAGCATGAAAATGGGTGGCAAGGAGGTAGCTATTCCATCACATCGCATTTGGACTCTGAAGGGCTTTCAATCTAGAGCACAAAGTCGTCTCAAGTCTTACAATACAGACCATCGAGTACGGGAGTCTGGAGTGACCACGTTGGACTCCATGAAGGGCAATTTTTATTACTGTCTCCGGTACAAGCAGTCAGCAGGCCAAACTTTTTCAAGTGTTTACTTACCTGCAATGAATCAAGTTGCTCTGCGCTGCCATTAAGCCTCAAGAAACGCAACGACTCTTCCACAGCACCACCAACCGTGCGATTGGTTTCAAGTAACTTTCTCACAGGTTCATTCCGCATCTGAACAGCTAATGGCGCCTGTGTTACCATTCTACTTAAATCAGAGGCGCGAAAGATACACAACGCCACCGGTGATCCCATCAGCCGCAGAGACTGTTGAAATAGCTGTGACGGTGATGAAGTTTCAGTCGAGGCGAACAGTCCCACGTAAAAGAGGTCCTTGTCGGGTCCAACGAAACTGTCACTCGTGACAATGCGGTCAAATGTTACGAGTGAATCGGTTTCCTGGTCTCTATGAGAAATATATATACATATATATATGAAATCTGGTCACTGAAAGTTTATGATCATTCCACGGCTACCCACATATAGTACAGAAAGCAATCACCAACGTGTCACTTTTTAATCCACTCTGCACTTACCATCAGGGGTAATTTGATCACCGTGCCCAAAATTGCATGCCAGATTGGGAAGAGACGGGAGGAGGGAGTAGCGGGGTAGAATTGTGGGAGAGGAGGGAGGTGGGAGGCAAGGGGATAAGTGAAATATACTGATTTCTCCGATCATTTCTTGTCCACTGACAAGGGGAAAACGTGCGCACTAGAGGAATTTCATTCCTTTTTGGGGCAAGTGAAGATGAAACAAAGTGCTTAAATTTTACTCTTGGGAAATTATCACTGTGACGCAGAAAGGTGGGGAAATATGCAGAGAAATAAGGTAAAATACTAGCCAAAATTGGAGAAGAATTGCTGACTTTCTTTTGTTTTGGAATTCCCACATCACTTTTAAAAGGGTGCAGAGGATAGGACACCAAGGCCTGGAATAGAATTTATATAATTTTACATCTTTGAAATGCCAGTTAACAATCGTCTAGTAGCTCATAGATGATGTCCCACACCTCCTCCTGAGTCCTCATATCATACTTCTTCCGCAATGGCAAGACTTGTGGTGCTGCGTCGCTAGCAGCGACAAGTAGATCCAATCCAAAAAGGCGATTTCAGCAGAAGAGAGGCATATAAGGCGGAAGACACGCCACCTAAAGACTAAAACGGAGACACTGTAACCTTTTGTTTAGCAACTTAACGGCTGAAAACCTCTACCGTGGAACTGTCTACGACAAGTAAAACCTCCTCCCAGGACCTGCCAGTTGAATGGAAACCAAAGAGAGGACAGATAGGTCCTTCAACGAAGACAAAGTGACAAGGAGGAAAATTAGCGAGCTCTTCCACATGGGGGCTGGACTCACTGTTGAGCAGCGTCCAGCCTTGAGTGGTACAAACTCAGGAGACAAAGTTATCTAAAGGGGAAGTTCACGAATTGGATGAAACCTTGGACATACAGTGGAATCGAACCGATGGTTCATTGACACTAGAATCAATTATCTCACCACTTAATGACTGTCTTTCTTAGAGGGTTAACCATCTTCAAAGCACCGACGCAGAAGGCTGGCGAAGGGACGAATCAAAGGGAACATCATGGTGCTTTCTTGCGCTAGAAAAAAGTTGTGCATTTTTTGATGCCGTATCGGGGTTACTAGGGTTCATCAATTGCCTAACTGATAGAAGGAAATCTGCACCTTCTGTGCTATTTTGCAGGCAGAAGTAAACACCTACCTGCGTACTCTCCGCATGCCTTTCCACTGGTGGCCATAGAACACGTCAGGCCGACTTCTGGAAAGACGTAAATAATGCAGAGTAACGCCTACATTTCTTGTCCAATTAGACCAGCTGTGTCCTCTTCTCTGTTGGTGGTAAGGCAAACAAATAGATAGACAACTTGAGAGGTTGTCTTTACCGCTCCGTTTGCTCCTCTGTCAGTGCCCGGTTTGACAGGAACGAAGGAAGAAGGAAAGCAAGGAGGCCTTCATCATTCGTGTGCGACAAAGAGAGAGAATTATATAAATTCCACCTCTCTCTGCCCATACACATATCCACCTCAAGTAGGTGAAAATACGCAGGTTAAGACAACGCATATGCATATTTCTACGAGCAAAATTTTGTGGTATGCGGTATGTGGGTGCTGGGCTGCCTTGTCAAAACAGAACCTTCTGTTTCCCATCCCAATGATTCCGACACTTTCAAGGAAAAAATTCAGCTCGTGAACCTCAAAACCATCTCGTATGAAGTAGATTAGTCTTGACTATCACTGTTAAGCTTTAACATCTGGACAGTCCTAACTGTCTACTGTAATAGTCGAGTATAATCGCGAGAGGGTGATGGCATAACATGTCACTCCCGCAGTTTATAACCCCTCTCCCGAATGTGATTCCTCCCTGTGTCGCCTACACTCTCCCTTTGCGTATACCTGTAGGTCGACTGCCTGCCTCCTAAATATTATGGCCTATTATGACGCGGAGGAAGACCAGGGGGGCCAATGGAGAACTCAAGAAATCAAGAACTCCCCCACTATATTGGACAATAGTGTCATTAATTAAAGAGACGGGTGTTTATGCAAAAGAGTGAAAAGCTCTCTCGTGGTGAGCTCCCTCTTCCTCCTCCAAAAAACTGTAAACATTTGCAGAATGCCCCATATTGCACACTATGAGGTGTCTTTCTTCAGAAAATCTTGACCTGGAGATTAGAAAATGCAGATAAAAGGAAAAAATAACGACAGTTTCACAAATGAATGGGTTAATTTATTCAAATTCTGGCACATTTCCTATTTAATTCCGGAGATCTGTTGGGGAAAAGGTGTGTTGTTTGGAGAAAGGGGCACTGCAGTTAAAAAGCTTCCAATACTGCTTTTGTTCTCCAATTTGCTTTGAATGGAAACGCGCAGCCCTGTTGGGAACTGTTATTTACGGAAAAAAGGGGGCTAAAAGTGTTTTTGTTGCTTCCTGGGGCATTCGATATTCGCCTGTAGTCGGTAATACATTATTACTTATGCTTGAGCAAAAAGGCGATAAAAGTCACGAGAAAAAAAATTCCCTTCCTAAAAAATAACAATTCTTTCAGCAAAAAAAAATGACTAATTCGCGGGGAAAGAAGTCAAGGCGAGGAGGTTTTGACAGAGGGAGTTAGCAACGAGCACGATTAGCGATTTCTAGGCCAATTCCGCCTTTTTCTGTGATAAACGACTCTGCTCCTTAAAGTCTTTTAACTTCTGCTAACGGCCAACCAAGCCCTTGGAGGGCGTAAATTATACCATTCAGGAAGCTCCAGGCCAGGGTCACCAAGACCAAGAGCCTTCATTTTGGTGGGTAGACATCAAACCCAAACACTGAGGCAGGAATGCAAACTTTGGTGGATGGCTAAAGAATTCGCGGAGTCCATGTCCGAGAGACTCCCTCGTTGGGCTTCTCGCATCCCGTCTACTGTTTGGAGGCGCACACGCACGCACACACGTGGGACGGACCGTGCGGTCACGACATCACCACCATCCTGACAACCAGTCCAGCCGCCCCGGACTGTGAATGACTCGCACACACAGCCATGACCCAGACACACCCCCGCATGTTGTGGGCCATGGAAGTTACTGGTATATCAGGTTAAAAAGGGTGCGCCATGGAACTGTGGACGGCATTTGTATAAGGACACCTCTACCATAGCCTCAATAGCTGAAATTAACAACTAAGCAGTATTGGTAGAAGATCGACGTTCCAAGTTCCACAAAGAAATCAGCGTGAAGAATTCCATTTGTTGGAAGGAAATAACTTTATGACAAATTTTATTGTATACGAGGCAAATTACCATCTTTGGGAAAAATAGTCGTAAGTATGAACTCTATGTCAAAAATTTGACTAGTTCAAAGAAATACCTTTTTTCACTTTGTGTAACAAACAAATATGGAATTGAAGGCTTTTTAAAAAAATAATGCCGTTTTATTTGGCAGATTCAGCATTCGTTACTTCACGGGTTGACAAGCAATCCACACCGATAGCTCCCGTTTAGTAACTTTTCAAACAATATGCCTTTTGAACAACTACTTCCTAATAAGAAAGTGGAGTAAATGAAAAGGAAAGTTACCTGATGTTGTGAATTATGTAATGTTGACTTTACTCTCATTGAAAAAGCTTTAATTTTTTACCTGTTGCGTGTGTAGAGGGCGTGCGAGTTTCGAGAGGTTGGAAGTCTAATGCTACAAGCGAGTTTGGCTTTGAGGAGGGTGGTGAAGACGGCGAGTCCACTGTCTGGCATCTGGAAACCGTTGTCGTTGAGACAAAATCGTACGACCAGAGTTGACTGTGTCTGAAGGTGAATGGCGAGGTCAAAGTCCCCTCCCTTAAATGTGGTCGTCAAATTACAAATCAAAGAGAACTTCCAAAATTACATCCATCTTGCAGATGGCAGTTGATTAATCAATGCAGATGTAATCTTGTGATGACTGCGTTGACTTCTATAGAGGCGAAATTTGTTATAAGAATGAGCTAAAGAGCAACACTGATCAGTCTACAATTCACTTCTACCACGGTGACCAAGAGGCAAGCTCAAAATTACGCATAGACTGTGGTTTTTCAAGACCTTATTAAATTCATGTAATACTTTCCAATCCCTCCTCCTCCACCTCTGACATTAAACACTTAGAGTAAGTCCAAGAGAATGGTACGGTAATGCTTTTTGAGAACAAAAAACCTCTATTTTGCGTTACCAATTAAAAATAAATGGATGACAAGGCTTGCAAAAGAGAGAGGAAGACAGAGAAAGAAAGGGTGAGAGAGGGAGGAGTGTGTTTTACTGTGAATATGGACACGACAGGAATCCCTTTGTCAACATCGGCATCGGATTTAAGTCCTCTGTTAGAGGCATTTTTTAATGCACTCACAGAGCTGGTTTGACAGAAAACGAGGCTACTCCACTTTGCAAATAATGCATTGCAGGCAATTTGTCTGTCACTGCACTATCATCCCACGGGTGAGTTGAAAGTTGATTCGGTCTTTCGGTAGACTGCATTAAAATAATGTCTGAGGGGTTTTGTAGTCCCCTCTCTCTCCTTTTTTGCCTTTTAATTAAAGGGGACTGAACCGTACGCGCAATTTTTGCAGCTCAACCAAAAAAGGTATCCCTGCAATGGAGAGATATTTGCTCTTCAACCTCGGGGAGATATAAGACCGTGTCTTCCACATTACAGTTACGATGCTCATCATTGAGGCTTTATCACTATCTCGTAGGCGAATTTACTTTTGAATGCACCTCTCATTTTTTTATTTTTCAAGTATTCATCAGTCCATTCTTCTCTGAGGTAGATTTTAAATCCAGGGCGTTCGTTAGGACCGACTTGAAAGAGCGCTTGGATGAGGGGTAACCATATAGCGAGAAGGCGATTGGTTACAACTTTGAGGAGGACTCGATAGTCCACTTCAAAATACCTTTTGTAATTCGGTTCCTTTCGACAAGTAAACAACTGCGTCCCCATGCCACTACACGCACAAAACCACAAAGTATTATCTTGTGGCGGTGAAATGGTGCCCGCGAAGTGGTAATCTCAAAGCAGTAGTAACCAATTCACCCCTCACCCTGTTATCCACTTGTTAATCACAAAAAGATGAACAATAAAAAGATAGTTAGTGAAGCCTATTGTCACCCAGCGTTGATATCTGACACCTGATATATATTTGCCTGGCCTTTATGGCCTTCAAGGTCGCAATTTAATTGGTTCACCACTCAGTTTCACACATAACAGAGTTACCCCAGACTTGACGCATCTTTGAGCATTTTTGGGATCAGAGTAGTTGGAGGCCACCTATTGGTGCAGCACATTCTCCCGACCTCTCGACAATAAGTACAACAAGAAGTTTCCGTGGGCTTTAAGAAACCCGACTCAACTCGATCCCTAAAAGCCAACAAGCAAGATCTGATTGACCTTTAAAACGAGGCAGTTTATTAAGAAGTAAGGCCAAAAGCCACATCAATACTTCCATCCACTTGATATTCCTAATCATTACTTTATTACATGGGGAGCTTTAGTTAAATTTGGCGCCGTATTCTGTGTCTACCCTCGAGGCGATATCCTGGGTCTTTGTGTGCATGACCCGCATTTATCTTTTACAGACCTTATGAGGGAGACCAGATGGAAAAAAAGTTGTCGAAAGCGTTAATCTTCAAATCAATTGAGCATCCGGTGTGCAGTCATTGGAAAAGCGTTGAATACTAGCATCAGAGCTAACACAGACTAGGTAGACTGCTCAGATTACGCAAGCAGAGACGGTTTCCGAGGCCATAATTGCAAAATAAGCTTCTCTTGTGGCACTTTTATTTGTTTTATATGTCCTAATTTATTGCTAAGATTACGCTTAAATAGCCCAAAAAGATGTTGCTTTCAAATTCCTTCAATAAATTTGCCAACTCACCTCATACTTTCGCCATGGAGGTGAAAGAAAGTCATCTAGCGGGTTGTGGAATGACTGGGCACGGTTGAAAAAGAGATAATGATATGGACTGTGAAGGCGTTGATGTACTAAATCGAATTTCTGACTCCTGGGTAGTTGAAAGTTACGAGAGAAAAGCTGTACCCTCCACCAGTTGGGATTGAAGCCGGGTTGATGTAGAGCCGAGGAGTTCTGACTGTAGCCCCGACGTAGAATTAACAGTGGCAATTGACCGTCCTCTTCCCTTCTCTTTACAATCACCATAGCATCACCTAAAAGGAGAAACGAAAGCAGAAATCAAGAACTCAGGTTATTTTCTCGGGCAAAAGACTTCAAGCGGAATGTGATTTGGTGACGGGGAGGCGCCGTTGTATAGCCGGTCTACCACCACCA